CACTCTTTAATTCTCACCCACATAGAAACAATCTATGGTATGTTTTTTTGGTTGGTTATATATATAGGTGAATGACCTTGTTTTGTGTATATAGTAGACAGAGATCTACAAGTGATTATGTAATATAAGGGTATATAGAGTAAAAATTATTTTCGGTGGCTGATTTTTATTACTAATGTGTAAATGCATATAACCAAGTGTGAAATTACGCTATCATTCTCGCCACTATATAAATATATATTTATTTATATACTGGATTTCTTTTTCAAATTTAGAGTTGGAGCAATAAAATAATAATTAAAAAATTGATATTATTACAGGAAGTTAAAAGAAATTGTTTAATTTCAAGCTCAAGGACTGAGCTTAGTCAGACAGCGATTGAAAACCAGGAGATATTGGACAGTTGTATATAACTCCTCAGCAGTGTACACCTACAACTTAACAGAGGATAGAACCCAGGACCTTCAGGTCTTGCAATGAGTGTCTCATCTTTATGTCAGTGATCCGGTATCCAGTGATGTACACGTCAAACTTCAATCAATTTGCAAAATCACACTACTTTTCGATGTGATTGGATTCCACTAGTCATGGCGTTTCACTTGACCTCATGGAGACCTAAAGGTCCCGAGTTCGTTCAAGTGGTATTGTAGATGTGTACTGAAAAGGAGTTACACACTAGGAGGAGATACTTGTTCAATGTACGCTGATTTTCAATGGTAGTCTAAGATCAGTCTGTGATGTAAAACAAATAAGAAGTTACTTGGAATTGTTTATCAATTTGTACCCAGGAACAATTGGTAGCAAATACTCGACATAACTGTGAATAACATAAATCATGATTTTTATAGCGAAGGAACAGACTACACATATGATATTAGAGGTAGTCCATAATACATAGTGAGTTGATTTAATCTGTTAGGGATCATCGAATTTGCTAAAATTAAGTAATCTTTACTAAATGATAAATTCATAATCATGGACGGTATCACTAACTGTTTACGACAAGACAATATCCATGCAGTGTTTCTTAGTTCTTGTGTTGATACGAGCTGTCGATGATAATTATATTTAAACTTCAGAGTGAATACAAAAGCAGATGTTTGGAGAGTAAATTCTTAAAGCGAAACTTATGTAGAAAGTGAATACTTCTCAAATATTTTAATTGTATTGGGATGACTGTATAGAAATAAGAGGCCTTAATAAGCCAGGTTTCCTGATTTCTGATACTTGTTTAGAATTTTATCTGTATTGTTATTATCAACCCATGAAAGTCAGAGGTGTACTATTCGGTGTTCCAAACAGAGATTTCGATGTTGACCTATAGTTGGTTAGGACTGTTTAGCCTGAAAGACTATTAAAAGTGTTAATTACCAGTTTTATGTAGATTCTAGAGTCTCAATAAAGTAATGAAATATGATTTAACTATGGTGGTCCATTATGAAGTTGGACTCATATACAGTCGTTCTTGACCTTCCCTATCAGATTACAATCGTACAACATCGTATTGGACAAGTTTCGGAAATCATTCAACTAATTTCGTATCAAATATTTTATTTTATCGATACACGAATGTTGTCAAATAAAACAAGTCGATAGTAACTACATCATAATGGAAGTATAATGTAAGACTAGTAAATCACGTAACTACTAAATCGTAATCCGAACAGCTCAGTGAAGCATCGGGTTTTATGCGGGTTCGAGCCGATTAGGGAACATCAGTTCCCTCATTTCAGACACATCTTACTGACAAGTGTCAGCTAGCACGAGGTTAAGCAGCGTGTCCTAACAACTACTTATAATAATCTAACGTTATTGCAAATTGACTGATGGAATTTTATTAGCACTAAATACCAGAGAAATATGAGATCGGTCGCTACTCAGCGACCAATCAGTTGTCATTTTTATTGACGGGAATTATCTTTATACTGTGACAGTTTGATGCATTCATATTTCATGAGTCGGACAGAACAACAAAAACAAGAAGTAAAACTATTGTATTTGCCATTTTTCATTTCGCAAGCAGTATACTGAACTCGTAAATAAATTCCATATGAAACCTGTAACATTATGAGCTAAAATATATCAACAGTCAGACGGATTATTTTATAGTACAAGTAAGTTTTCTGGACTGTTTTCCTAATACTATTTATATAAGTTCTAAGTAGTCTGACACGATTTTCAAAAAAATAAGCTATTAGCTCTTCTTTGTTGTTATGACTTGACATTGGCAATAAAATGGGGAAACTGATATCCGTAATTTGTTACTTCACAATATCTTTAGAATTATACCGATCCAAATAAAACAGGACGTTAAGGGTTCTTGGAAATTTAGTTTCACTTCATTTAAGATAAAGAGAATAAATTAAAGGCGACATAGCGGGTGATATTCTAACACGTCGACTCAGAAGATCTGTCGAGAGGACGTTTCATGCCGCCAAGTTACACATAACTTTCTCGACTAAACCAGTACTCACACAACTAATCAAGGACAAGTTACTGAAGATGGGCTCCTCCATGTGTGTATACCAATTCTACTGCTCCCGTGGAGCTAGTTACATAGGCCGTACTCAGAGGGCTTTATCCTTGCGTGTTCGTGAACATGTACCAGCATGGTTGGGAAAAGGAGTCACCAAATCGATTAACAGCACCATTCTTTCTCACTTGGTAGATAGTGAACATCATATCAAAATAGAGGAAGCTTTCTCTGTTTTATATCAAGTTCCAAAATATCTACCTCAAGGAGCTAGATTACGACTGCTTTACACAGCCGAAGCCATCTGGATCAACTCCAGAAGACCTAATTCATGCATCCAGAAAAAATATATCCAGCCTCTATGTTTATCCTGGCCTACGACTGGGTCACCGAATACCTAGACTGAATATTATAAACCTCTTACCCCTTCCTTTATTTTCCTTATTATCATTATTTGTCATTATCTATATCTTAATCCTCATATCCATCATTCACGATTTGTTGACCGTAATTACCTTGATAACACCCCCCTTATTACATATTATATTCACACAACATTATTATTATTATTATCTCAGTTGACAAAATTATTCTCAATTTTGCAATAGTACTATTATCTTATTGTGACTGAACAATTTACTGACCTTTATTGAATGACCTTTCTAATTTGCAAATATTACGATTTTTTGTTTTGTTTTGAAGTATATATATATATATATATATATATGTCGTAACAGATGCAAACGTCCACCATTTTTAACACATAACATTGTCAAACTCATTAAAACATGCCTTATTTTTGGCCTTTGTAAAATATTATAATTATGGACTTATAACTGTAGAGCCTGGTGATGAAGTTATTGAAAACAATTGTTCGCTCAAATACTCTTCGTTTTTGAATCAATATCCGTCGACCTTGTTGGGTAGGTAATGTTGGGGAAAGAGTAAGTGACATTTTATTTGGTTTTCTAAGTTATATATCTGAAGGACTCAGCTGAAAGGTGATGAATACTTAGCCAAAAAAAGAACCGAATATTTTTCTACAAAAATATGAATTCAAAATTGTGATTCCTCATGGTGTAATTGTATAATATAATGACAACAAAAACCTCAAAGAAATGAGAACAGTGGTATTAAGTCAACATAAAAAAATCGAAAAGCTAGGAATCTTTTGTACCGTACAGTTGATATGCATCTGCCCAGCGTCATTCCAGTGTAATTGGAAGGCCTAAATAGTGATGAATTGATCATGTGTGGATAAAAAATCTTAATAAAGTATTTATAAAATCTTCGTAGTAAAGCATTTTGCAGATCCCGTAACAATAAATGCATATTACGTGCCTATTTATACTCCTAAGTGAACATTGCTGAAATATTAGATTTGAGACAACAAAAACGGTTATCGAAGACGCCTGCAATGATCTAACCCCGAAATTTTTACTGAGTGCTTTTTTTAATTGAGAGGAAATTTTCTTCGGGCTATTTTCCACTTGTCAGATCACTTTTATAAATTGTAAGGTAAATCCAGTAGTTACCTAATGATTTAAATCCTGAATCGTTTGGGCAAAGTAATATTTATACGAATAAAATTCAATCTAATACTTGACCAAGAACCATACTGATTAGTTTTGATTGCACATATGGTATATCTGATATAAGAAGTTGAATCTCACCACCTATCACTGCTTATCTTGATAAGTTAATGATAATATTGAAGCAATCCGCATAGGATGCATATATGCCAAAAGAGATTGATCAATAGTAGTCTTCAAAATCAACGGGGAGATCCAAACAACCAATAAATATGAGGTTTCAGTAAGTTATTAGGTTAGTGCTAATATAATGGTAGTTTTTATTTATGAAACATAAAGAAAAGCATATCAGCAGAAATTTATAAATATTAATTACATGTTATAATTTGTGTAGAAAGCAATTAATTGATTGACATTCACACAAACGTTCTAGAAATCCTTATGCAGAATAATCTCCATGGTTCTAACTAATAGTATATTTAATAATGAAATTGAAAGTTATGATCAGAATTATCGTCTTTGGTATGTCCAACAACATGCTTCGGAACTGTCGTGCTATTAACACTGAGTTGATAATATATATGTAAAACCTTTGGCACCAACGCATTATACATTCGAACTTCGGATGCTAGACAAACGTAACGGTATCAGAGATGACTCAGACTAGTATAAATAATTGATTTTCACTTGAGATATATTGATGTCATTTATTATATCACTAACAGTACCTACACATTACATAGATGTATATAGTTCTAGATTATTTCCAATAGTTCAACACAACTTGTCTCAATGAGTACATATACCAGTGATACTTACTTTGTATCCAGAGATCAGATATATCATAAAGTCTCTTCATGAATTATTACCTATTTTTAATTGATCTTACTTCTCTATTTTCTATTGAGTCAGGTACTACTAATTAGAGCTATGTTTGTTTATATTGAGAGCTTTGACAGTTTAAATGTGTTCTAGTAACAAATAACACAACTAGATACTTGAAATATGAATAAATAAACTTATTAATTAAATATACAATACTTACAAACGAAAATTTGTAGAGAATACCTTGTTTAAATCATACAACTTTGAAAAAAATGGTTAAAAAATTCATCCATAGTATGGTTTTCTATATGTTTATTTAAGAAATAAACAAATGCGTACAGTAAAAGCAAACGGGAAGCTAAAAAAAAGAAGAGGATACTTTAAGATCGTATACTGGCAATTTGAATATGCATTGCGCAGAAGTATTTCGATGAATCCAAGCAGATAATGAGAAAAAAAAGGTAAAATGTATAAAACACAATTTAAGCTTACGTAATAACGAACAATATTCACATAGAACACATCCGACTGACACAATATAGATAGAGAAGACTATAAGAAAATTACTATATTATTTATAAATAAATAATTTTTGGAATTATTCGTAGAATACAAAGAAAGCAGTAACAATTATGCATCAGTAATTTTTTCTCATTGTAATTATTAATAAATATTGAATAGCTAATAATGGATTAAGACGAGATCTGATTGGACGAAAATGCCAATCCAATTCACAACTGTAAATGAATAAAGAAAATTAAAAACAACAAAATGAATGAAAGTTACACTTCAGTTGCAAATAAGACAAGTATAAATGGCTGTTTCTAGCTGTCACACCGTAAACAGAATACAAAAATAAGAGAATTAGTACAATATATGATTGAAAGAAATCATGATGATGATTAACAACGCTTAAAGAACTGTGGTCCGACCGTTGTTACTACCTTGACGTGGTGGTCGGGCTTGCCTATAGTCATGAGGCAACCAAGCTATACTGGCTGGAACAATCGTTCCTCAAGGTCCTACCATGTCAGGCAGGTCGGTTGAAGAGCGGTAACACTAAAAGCAACAAACTCAAGGTCCGACGGCGAAGTCGTACTACTGACTGTACAGAGGTGTGACAGCAGTGAGATGTTTTCTCCAGACAACCAGCATAACAGCGGTGCTGCCTTCCCACAAGGAGGGGTGGGGTTAGTAAACGTCGACCCTAAAAATGCACACCTCGCCTTATCCCACGGATATCCGTATCCGGAGGTACGGTCTCAACAAGTACGGAGCTAACACGAAACTTACTCACAAAGAGGTCGTGTGTGACCGACCACAAGCAGTTGTCCCTTGTGCATTGTGGTCACGCTCTCAGGTCACTAAGACCACCTCTAATCCAATCTCCTTTTCAGGCATCTCCGGAAGAACCCTTCCACGGTGTGGGCAACCGGGAAGTGATAACCGCCCCCATACCTCTAACAGCACTCAAGACCACTGTATTCATAAAGAACTTTGGAAAAGTAAAGCCTATTTCGAACCAATTAGAATTGATTGCGTTAAACAGACAAATGTCATCAATATAGAGACTGAGATAGATGTGTGTTAGCATAACTTTCCATATTTGATTAGGGTAATGAAAGAAATTTGTTGTGTAGTACAGATTAACAATCAGACTCTATGTTTTATTCCTATATCCCTGTATATTTACTAACAATAATCTTTGAATTTTAATAGTTGAATTTACGAGTAGATTAAAGCTAGATCACCATGGAAAACCATGTCTGTTGTAAGGAAGTTACTCACTGAAGACAATGGTGGACGGTGGTACAATATCGTGAATTGGTTGAAGTTAGACACTAACACCGTTGGATGCTGGCTTAGTGGTCCTGGGTTCAAGTCCTACGTACGGGATCGTGGGTACACTGCTGAGAAGTGCTATACCATAATAAAACGATCTTTCAGTGCTTCCAAGTTTTCAGTGGTGGTCCAACTTTAATCGACTCATGAACTCAACTATTAAATTACTACAATCTCCACAAAACCCAATTCTGATAAAATTTTTGAATTACTAATTAATTTAGTTTAACAGTTCTGAAGTATCACTTTCAAAGCATCTTTTCATTCTTTTAATGGTAAAATACAGAAAACTTTAAATCTTATCACAATAATCACTGAATCACTAAGACGTCATTCAATTATTCGATTCAGTACAGGTGTTGAGCTATTGAAAAGTTAAGAAAATATCATCAATCAACATTTTACATACAAAACTACTAAAGAAACCAAGTATATGGTAGATTATATTTTGCGATCATTTAATTAATCAGCGGTCGGTTTCTCACGGTTCTCATATCTTTATTATTACTATTATTATCATTATTATTATCATCAGCTTTATTCAATATTATATTTTTGGTACAATATAGAATTCTCAGCGCAAAGTATTTCAACAAGTTTCCGTTTCTTTCTTCTTGGTCGGTCCTGGCGATAAATATCGAGTGATCGCCAGTTAGATGTTAGCAGTTCAGTAAATGAACATCTGAATAATGTGCATTCTTTTCGTTGTATATTGCCAACAACCACATTGTCTCTTATTGAGTTTTTTTGTAACTTTGACAACGAAAGATTGTACACTTTTCAGAAACGCAGCAGAATATGTTATGCGATAAATAAACATAATGATATATTAAAACAAACAAAAATAGATAACTTGTTGAAATATCTAGATGGCAGGAACAGGTAGCCCAGATGCTCAAGCAGACCGCCCTCCCAGCAGACTGTCTTTAGGTTTTTATACAAGTATATTTCTCATAATTAGATGATACCGTAAGTCAGAGGAAATACCATGTGATAAACCAACTATTGTACAAGATATGGTTAAATCTGGTACGGCACATAAACAAGGTAAATCTTGATAGTTTAGTACAACCAAAAGTGAACTGGTAGTAACAATTATAATTAGGTAGATATACTGTTTAAAGGTTGACTATTCTGTTAATCGAAATGTTCAACTTGTATTAATGGTGGAAATATGAGAAAGAATCGAAAATTTTCTTCGCTAACTAAAGTATCAGTTTTTTATGAAGATAATTTCGATAGATTAAAAGATCTGATGACAGTTTTCACTGTAATGATCTTGTTATAATCTCTATAACTTTAAGAATCGAATACAACTGGTTGCCCATTCGTGTATTTTAATCATGTTTTTAGCATCAATGTCTTTCATATATAAAGTGGAAGAAAAACAGTAAAATAATTTCGATGAGAAACTAGCGGAAAGTACGATACATATATGTAAATATATCAACTATTTATCGGAATATATAACAAAAATAATCCAAGTACAAAATTACTAACCTAAGATAAGCACGAAGTTTTTTCATTTCAGCGTTTGATGCCTTTAAATGGACTTCATTAACATTTAGAAAATTAGCAGAATCACCGATTGGATCGAAATTAAGGTGAAATCGAGAATGTGGGTCAGATCGGCGATAAAGTCCTTCATAAATTTCTTGTAATGTAGGCAATAAAAAAGAGTTTTGGGAAAATAAATGAGGAGGAGCTGAATTGAATAGAAGAGCCAAAACGCAACAAGTACGACTGAATAGACGTACACTCTGAAGTAGATTAAAAAAAGTAAAGACAAAAAAGTATGGTAGTTTACTTTTGTAAGGGTAAATATGAATTTGTTTACAATCTAGTGAGGTGATAATAATACTGTAGCTGTAAATTTCAAGCAGTAAGAACTGCTATACATAAAAAATGAGTGTTTACTGAGGGAAGTAAGTTATCTGGTAGACTTATCTAGCAATTAGATTCTAATGAAGTGCATTTATTGGGAAAAAAAACAGGAAGCATTCTGTAACATAAACGAATCTAACCATTATTAACGTTTCATTGGAATCACAAGCAGATCAATGTTAAACCACCATTGAAAACCTGGAAGCATTGGACAGCCGTTTCGTCTTGGTGACTGACTCTTTAGAAATGTACGTGGGGGAATCGAACCCAAGAGCTTTGATCTTGTTTCCAGCTTTTCAATGTTAGTCTAACATTGATCGGTTCATGATTTCAATGAAACTCAGCAAACTTCTCAACCTTATACTTACAATTTTTAACGTTATCGATATTAAACCACTGAACAGAGATGATAGGCATCTGAAAAGTAACCCTTAATCACATTATCATATTGGGTGAGTATTTTGTACATAAATGACTAACATGTATATAGTCCATCGATCAGTGGTTTCTCTTATGAAATCTGGTATGCTTAAATATGGAGTTCAGTTCCGTAGGAGGATTAACTAGTTTATACAGTACAGTAAATGCACCCTATGACGAAACATTAACCTTATTTTATTTGCTCAAGAAACACTTAGTAAGAGTATGGTGGAAAATGTACTTTTGACGGTTCGTACGTAAGAGAGTATGCTTTCACTGAAGCAAAATCGTAAGTTGTGATGTATTCTCGCACAGATCCCTTTAGAAAACAATGGAACAAGATTGTTACAACTGATTAATTAAATAAAAAATATTCCGTTGATATTTCCTTAATTGCTTAAAAGTATATTGCACTGCCGAAACTTTTTTGAAAAGCCACTGTTTGAATGTGCTCATTTTTACTAGGGAACAAAAGTTGATAATATTTGCTGAAAGATTAACTTAAATATACGTAACCAGGCAGAAAAATAAACTAACCACTGTTCCAGGGCGAGCACGCCATGTCCTCTGAAGTATTTCCATTAAAACTTCAACTAAACTCATATTCTGAGTAATAGACACCGAATTGTGCGGTAATTTTGATTCCACTGAATTAACGCGGTTAGGTTTTTTGAGATGTGACTGTGTAGAGATGGTAAGCTGTAAATCAGATACAGTTGTACATAAACCTGGAAGACTTTGATAACGCCTTAACTGGGTATTTATTAAACGTACAATAGCTGGTGGTTGAAATTCTTCATTTTCATTATTTTCATTCTCATTAGTGGCAAAAGGTCTCTTTGACTTAAAAGTCAAAGGATTCCACCATAAATCTATATTACTGGCTAGATCTTTATGTCGTCCAATATTTAAAAAAATTCCTGTAATAGCTATAAAAATATCTTCATGTGGAACAGAACGATTACAAGCCATCATAATTTGAAAAAAACGAATAAGTGCACATGGTGAGTTCTCATCCTGTTCATTGAAACATGCATTATTGTACATTGGCTTTTTAGGAGGTGACAAACCAACTATCCAATAACAAAGTTCTGCCGAGAAACCGGTAGTCATTTCTAAAGTGAAAAAATATAAGTTAGAAATATAAGGTAGTGATGATTTGAACATACTGAAGTTGTTCTCAAGTGTTACGACTAATTATGAATATTGTATTTGAATTTACAAACGAACAAACCTGAGATTACTAAAGAAGAACTCATATCACTCGTAACACACAACGAACTTTAACCCAATAGATAATGACAAAATTTGAGTTCAAAAGAAATTTTTACAGCTTTTTCTGAAATAAAAACACTTTCCGCTTTGCAGTCCGAATATATCTAAACTAGATATTTTAATGTGACTTCTACATTCATGCATTCGACGAAACTATTAAATAGTCCAAAATGTAACGCTGGATACGGAAGAAATCATGGCCTTAAATAACATTATGTTCCACTTTATTTATAAGGGCTCAATGTAACCAAGGAAACACTACATTTAATACTTAATAATGTCATAGCTACAAAACGTTTAGAAAGTCCATACAAAGATAAAATTTAAGGAACAAACTGGTGGTGAAATCTATAAGTAAATCAGCATATATTATTCCAGTACCCCGGAAATATACTACAACCGATGTTGATAGTCATGTTAGTTTGCCTATCAATTGTTGTCAAGTTACAGTCAACTAAAGATGGCTTAAATTTAATCGCTAATTGCTTCATTTACATTGAGAAGGGATACCTACGATCTAGATATCAACCAAGGATCAATAAACTTTCAAATCCACTCGATTCACTACTTCAATTAAGGAAGGACTTAAACCAAGAATGATGTAAAGGTGTGAATTGTTTCGTTTTAAAAACAAGGCATTAGAGGTTCTAAATCGGTAAATGTTACATTTAGGAAGGAATCAATTCACGTACTGAATCTTATTCATTGACTCTCAGTGTTTTTTTCTTTTCAATGCATCTTTATTGTATTAATCAATTTAATGGGGGGGGGTTTCAGTGATGATTACTCAGTTTGATAAATTTTTGTAATTAATAATCAATGAATAAACATGAATATAAATTAATTTTTCAGGGATCATGATCAATAAAGGTTTTATACAAACTGAACTTATTATTACTCTAGTTAATGGACATGGAAGGAGTCTTGTTCACGATAATGAAGTTGAAGTTGGGAAATAATAGCTTAGTGCCTAAACGTATTAAATAGTTGACAAATATTCGATAGGACTAAATTCATCTATCCATCTCTCAATTTAACAGACTTACAAATACAACAACAATGTTCATGGTATTAATAATTTGGAGAGTGAACAGGTAAAACTACGGTGTCACAACTGGTAGCAAATAAATTATCATAGACCGAACTAAATAATGTAGACTATATTTAGTTATTATTAAGATCAAGCAAACTACGAATATTTATAATCTAATAAACTTTCTTCTCTTTCAAGAATTCAGTTCAATAAAGAGGGAGGAACTTTTAATCTTATAGAACTTCTCGAGTTCATCGTTGCTGAAAATGACAACAGCAAATAATAAACTGAAATCTAGGAAACGACAATAATTAAAAACTATATAACAAAAAACAAAAACAGTTTCATCAACTGGGTCTGATAAAAGCCATATCAGAACAATATCTCAAGCCATAAATATTAACTGTATTACAACAACGGATCGGTAGTACACTGAAATAAAATATTTAGATTATTCTCACTAAACAGATAAATAAAAAGTATATGGATACGAAGTTTGAAAAATACAGCTAATTAGAATTTTAAAAAAATAATCATAGTTCCTAATATATATCAGAGGCAAATGGATGACTGTTAATAACCCTGTAGAGTATACACAACTATTGTAATGACCTATCACTTAGTATGATCATTTATTAAATCTGAAAACTATTTAGAATAAACAAATCATAAAGTTCTAATCTCTCACAACTTACCTAAAAGTTTGATTGCATCAAGTATTTGATTTACAGATGTAGAGTGAGAAAGTTGTTTCAATGCATTTCGGGCTTTCGAAGCTAAGGTTAAATGAGGATTAGTTTGAGCACGCTCTGCTGCCTTATTCAAACGAAAACAAATATCTATAAGAGACTTGGCTTCCAAAGGTGTAAGTGAAAGCAAACACTTTTCTTTATGAAGCTTTGGTTTGGAATTTTGCAAACTTGGAACAGACTTTGACTTAGATGTAACAAGATGTGTTTCCCGACTGTCCAATCGACTTGATATTTTCGTAATGTTTGCGCCCTTTTTAGAAGATTGAGCTAAAGTAAACAAATGTTTACGAATTCGAAAACCTTTCCATGCGGCTTGTATTCGTATTGCAGAACAACGTTGCCTAGCTATAAACTTAAGAAGAAAACATGCACGCCACCAACGTTGAATCATGCGAGATGAATTGTGACGTTCAACAACAAGTAAGACGATCTAGTAAAAGGAGAACAGCAAACGATTATTAATCAATAAAAATTGAGTAGCGAACCGATTTATTAACTTTATCAACGATGAAAAACGAACAGTAGAAAAGTGTAGAGCATTTTCAAACCACTGCGATTATGTTATCAGATCAATGCAGAGTGGATAGCGGCGATACTAACAATTTACGTAAGAACAAAATAACATGAATAGAAGCAAATGAAGAAGACAAAAACAGAGCTAATTCTCCTTTCTATACCCACACCCAAAACAGAAAACTGAATTGCTGGGATGACCAAAAAGTAACTAGGTCGTTTTATTAAGTGATAGTTCTGATATGCAAGGAAGTTATCGGTAACTTTTTTCTAATTCATGTAACCCCATTGGAAATTCTTTTTATCTAATTGGATGTTCCTTTTCTTAGTCTGTTATTTTTGTTGTCTTAAAAATAATATTTGTTGCTACATAAACACAGTTGTTCTATTAAAATTCTGACTTCTTTGAGTATTATCTATTCCCTGAACTCATGACTTCTCTCTTCAATTGCACTGCGGGTTATCGTTGAAATGCTGTGTATTAGTTGCCTGGTTTATCTATTTCGTATAGATCCAGTTTCATATTAAAAGAATCTTTCAGCCACTTTTTAGTCGAAAATAGCGTTGGTTAGCACAAAACAGAATATTAATTTTGGACCAAATAACAGTTACAATAGCATTATTGACCGACCAAAAGTAATGTTATGTATTTTAGGGTTAAATTTGAAGCCCGGAGGTAATGGGGATAAAATGCTGGGTGTTTAAAAATGATAAAAAAAATAGGGAAGACGACTACTCTAGGACTAAGAGTGAACAATCCAGATGAGAACACTGGTCAGGGAGATGAGCGTGGAAAGAAGCATTATATCAAAGAAATAGGTGATGAATTTATTTAAGCGATAAAAAAGAGGATAATGAGAACATTTTAATTACATCTTTAAACTGTGTAATAATTCTCCGAGAGCGATGAAAGCGCCAAAATAATTGTATTCGTAGAGCTGAACTATGCAAAACATTGATTCTACGCAATACTAGAAATTTACGAAAATGAGACTGTATAACTGTGGCTGCTGAATTCCTATTATATTGGACTGTTGCAAGACGTTCTCGAGCCAAATATCCTCGTGCATATTTTTGGATAGTGATACACCACTATAACAAAATATATAAATACAATTTCTAAATTAGCACACAAGCAAAAGTGAAGAAAACATTGAGTAAATAATGAAAGTTTAGCAAATTGTGGTGGAATATTAAACAATCATGGGGTGGTTTAGTGATGAAATTTGCTGTGTCGTTAAACATTATGTAAAAACCATACTGTCCCATCATTGAAATGGACGATTAAAGATTCGACTTAGTCCCAAAGTGGAAATCTGTTAACATTTGTTCAACAGTAAAAGTCGATTTAGCAGTAGAATTTACTTAATTATGACAGTTTTACACATCCTGTGTTTTATTCACGAACTTGACGATTTTTTTAACAAATCTATTTTTCAAACACTTAGATGTATTTATTAGCGCTGTTATCAGTCAGTCAGTTATCAACAACGTAGAACTTCGTGCGTACGTACATCAGTTCGAGTTGCCATACCACATTAGCACAGAGATACAATTGTCAATTCAAATCCCGTAGTGGTAGAGATAGTAAAAGTATGAGCAGTAATCGGAAAGATTAGGGTTTGAAGATGTTATTCAAAGATTATAATCCAGGAAAATAAATTTGGTACACAAATAACGACTGCCAGAGAACACTTGGAATCTCACCTTAAAGTTTCCAATTTTTCAAATAATTGACCTATGGCTTAATAGTTCAATTATTCGACCATAAATAATCTCAAACTGTACTTTATTTAATTGGATTTAAGGTAATCAAAATTTAATACAACAAATGTCAATCTATGAAGCTGGGTTTATTTGTTGAATCATATTAAAACGCCAGATGATTTGATCAAAACCAGTACAAAACATGTGAATTATACTTTGTTGTGCTAATAAACAAATAGTAGTGAAAAATCGTAAAACCAAAGAGAGCTCACTAAACGACCTGGTGAATTCAGAAAGATTGAGCTCAAAACAATCATGTAGTAGTTAAACACAACCTAAATACTCGGTTAGTTACTACCACAAAATCTTATGATTAATAGATAGTAGGAGAAAATTGAACCAGGAAATAATCAACTATATCTTTGTTTCGAAGATTTGTAAAAGATTGTACCTACAAAACAACAGAGAATTTCGCAGGTTAATATCATTCTCCTATTCTTTATTGGGTTAAATTCTGGGTAACTGAACAATCATAAGAAATCAGCAACTTTTCTCTGCACACAAACTTATTTTAACTGCTTATTTAGAGAAAAGATCATACACCGAGAACATTCCTTTGAGAGCTTTCTTAATGCCTGGTCCATTGAAAAAACAGTTAACTTCGGATTGATATTTATTAATAAATATCAAATAGGCTAACATATTTGAACAAGTTTTTATTTATTCTATCAGAAGGCTTCAATACTCTTTTCTCTAATAGAAGTTTATTTCAGTGGAAATTCAGAAGCGCTGATAGCTTTAATAGAAACTCATCGCAATAAATCCTTGATTTAATTTTACGGAAACTAGGTAGATTTCGAACTTTTAGATGTCAGAACAAATCACTTGAGGATAAAGCAAAGATAATATGTGATCAAGTTCAAGAAGGTTCAAGTTTTATCCAAGAAAGATGAAGTAATAGACGAAAAGACAGCAATTATAATTAAATGAGAAAAGAACTTTCGTATAGGTAAAAGCCTATATGTAATTACCAAATACACTACGAACCAAAAAGCTGTTTAATATTTCAAGAGTTATAGTAAAACTATACATCATGATTTCATCAACTACAGGTTTACACGAACGGAAAGTTACCGATTTCAAAGACAGGAATCTTTGTCTATGGAAATAACTACGCCATTTACTCTGAATTTGAACTGCTGCCGTATGCCAACGGAAAATCTCAAGTCTGACCAAATAACTTCGGAAATACGATTGTATCACGGTGGCCGCCAAAGTCCTTTTAGAACGTGTTTCCACAACAAATTTACGAGCATAATACCCACGTACATATCGTTGAATTGTTAGACATGCCTAGGAAATTCAGGAAAGTAGTGGTAGTATTTATTACCAATTAAATTTTATTTTATGAACAAGTATGTTTATTGAACATGTTCTTTATGGTGTATTTATTATAAGATCACGAATTAATGTGAGTATAGTGGCACTGCTCCAACAATGGAACTTAAAGAAGTAGCTTTATGGGTGGTTACTCCTCTGAACTTTCCACTATCAAGTTTAATCCGAAACTGTCATGAGATACATAGGCATAGCACCCAATCTATTTCAATAAACTCCATCAAAATCATCCACCTGAGCCAAAAATCTCAATTATATAACACTTAGTCAGTTAGCGAATGATAGCCACAAGTATTACATCTACTTCGTATCACTAAAGTGTAAATTACTTCTACAACAGACCTACGTCGATCTAAATAACTCTGAATACTCTTATGATCTTAATCTGGTGTCCATAATATTAGTGTGGATGGATCGGTTTACGAGCTAACAATACCCAAAGAATTGCTGTAACAAAGGAATTGCACGAATAAAGTGAGGCTCAGTAATTTATGATGTAAGAGTGTAATATGTTCTTAATACAGTGACAGACATACCAAGTAGTGATGATATTATACACCGGAAAGAAATTGCACTTGGGATTCGTAACTACTAAGCAATATTTGAATAAAGCACTCGGAATGACCACATAAACAAGATAGCTAGTTACCAGAATTGTCAGTATAAATGTTAATAATATCGTTACATAATAGATAAAATATTCAAAGTGAATCTTTTCAAGTTAGCTTTCTGAACTTATTTCGATAGCGAAACATATAGTCTAATTTGTAGGTATCATTACCAAGGTTTGATTTGATAATTTCGAATAAATTGAACATTGGGTAGATTGTTATAAATAGTATATTTGTAATATCCCAATGAGTCACGAAACGTCAGAAAATTTAGTTTTTTTTACTCATCGCGAATATTACAAATATACTATTTTATTTATACAATCTCATTGTCTAAAACAAATAGATTCTATTTATTTCTTCGTCTATTAATATTGTAGTGAACGAAAAGTCAGGTACGGTTAACCAAATTATTGTTTTATGTAAGACAAAACAATGTCTTTGTAAAATATGAAAATGATTCACTAAACCCATCATCTGCATATTTCCATTGAGTTGTCGTTTACATACTCCATCATTTTTCCAATCGTTTTCTATTTTATTTTATTTTCGCTTTATTTCAATCTTCTGTTGGTAAGCATTCCCCTTCCAATTCCTGCTACATACTACTTAAATCTGTCCGTACCACAATATAGTAAATTAGAAATGTGAACAAATCATTATATGAAATAGTAATGATCGAATAAAAAAACTCACATGTTTTAAGTTGATATATTGTTGATGAATGTGATAACATCGCCAGGCACTTTGAATTTGAATAGCTGACTTATGCCAATTTTTTATGCTACGTTGAACAATTAATCTACGGAAATGAGATTGTATTATTGTTGCTGATTTGTTTCGATGTTCTTGTAACTGTGCAACATATCTACGGGCTAGGAATCCACGTGAGAATGCTTGCAGTATAATACAGGACTATAGTATTCAAGTGGAAGAAAAGAGAACAAACAGGTATAAATCACTTTTATGATTATAGAGGATAATAAAGTCTATAGAACATATGATGCCAATAAGTTGTTGATAACATAATCAAGAATTTCACAGGTAAAGAGCGAAACTACGATGCACAAAACAGAAGTACAAATGCTATTGTGAGGGGCTTTTGTTATAATAGCCAAAATATATGTCAGTGGACTCAACATTTGGGTGACAAAAAGGAAGAAACAAATGTAATAGGTTGGGGGAATTCAGAATTATAACATGCTTTTGCTCATAAGCCGTCCTCAAGGTCATACATTAGATAGAACGATAACGAACGAGATGGGCTATTAGATGAAGTTAGTGACGTACTTTGTTGGCATATCTGAGGGACAGATAATGTATATATACACCATTGGTTTTTGTAAACTCATTCGATTTTTCAATAACAGCTTCCTTCTCATTCGTGAAGAAGGTTGGGCTAGTGTTTAGCAAGTGCACACAGTATCTACGAAACAGTGGCTGTATGTGAAACTTTAACTCTGGTTTTTCGTATACGCATTCAAGTATGAGATGTAAAAGACAGACAATAAGGAGAAAGTCTTTAAAGAACAAATAGTACATTGGTCTTTTACGATTATTTAAGCGATTATGAAGCTGATTCACTCATCATTCATATTTTACAGTTGCACACATACACTATCTCTCTATATGGGTATTAGTGGAATCCATGATATGCTTTTCGTCCTACTTAAGACTTATCAGCTAAATATACATGCGTTTATGTTGATGTTTACTCAGAGAATCGAACCCAGTACCACTCGATTCAGACGCCGACACGTTATCCACTGAGATTATGTGTTCATCGACTACATATCCCAGTGATGAGTTCCAAATGGAATGAAATTCGAGTCCAGGATTTCACTACTAGCCACTCCCTAACTTTACTAAGAACTTATGATCAAATGGCAGTATCTAGGGTGTCTACTAATGGAGACTGATCGATTGTAATCCTTGATCTCGACAAAAGGAAAATACAAGCCCTTAGAAATAGCTATCTTTTACTAGTTCAAAGTTCCATGAAGGCATGCAACCAATATCATTGTGATTGAATAAATCACAAACAGATTTGGATATTGTTTCCTTGGGACAGTTTAACAGTCAACAATCTACTGGATTTATCTATGAATAGTTATTTGATCATTTCGACTAAGTCACACTCAGTTTCAATATTTACGAATCATTAGTTTCATAATAACAGGTTATGTTTACACTACTATGACGTGTCTGAAAGTATGTCAGCAAATAAACTAAATAAACGAATAATAAAAGTTAGAAATCACCTTTTTCAATAGGGTATAATTTTGGCGTGCTTGGTAACCACGCCAAGCGCTCTGGATTAAGGTAGCGGATTGGTGAATGCGTTTAAAATAACATCGAATTAAAAATCGACGAACATAAGATTGTATTATTATTGCAGCAGAGTTTCTCAAGGATTTGATCTGTACAACTTGTTTACGAACAAGATAACCACGTACAAATGCCTGGATAGTAGTGCATGCCTGAAAAGATGTTAGAAAAGTATGGGCACAACGTTTGAAATATCAGAGTAATTAGAGCCTGTGCAACATTCATATTAGAAACAAATTGGAATAATGATGGATGATTCGTCAAAAAATAACCATTTAGTAACAGAGTCGCGAGCATATTCTTCTGACGATGTGTTTGAGTTACCCGGAAAACCATTAGGTTTCAAGGGATTGCTATAACACATTTTATCAACCTGTAACTTTTGAGTTATCCAAACTCATCACGAAATATTAAATGACTTAATCAATAACAGCTAAACAAGATGTATAGACTTAAATATTACATGAGTTGACTTTTGAAACGCGCCACAACTAAAGTGTGAATGGAGAAGTACCAAATAAAATAACGTAGAAAATAAGTACATGTTCATTATTTCAAATTAAAAAAGCCTGTTAACAGCGAAATGGCACTAGCAAGATTAGGAAATAATTTGAAAAAAATACATAAGAGCGATTTTTACAAATTTTAATATAACTCAGGAACTGAATAGAGACTCATGGCTACTCGTTGATTTCAAGCCACAGTTTATATGTACATGTAACATTTCCTATCCAAATGAAGAAATTGAATTGAGCTAGACTTTGAAATTCATTAGTTTGAAGTTTAGTGATTCAACAACCAGCTTAGATCTCATGAGAACGATTAATTAACGAATTCGGAAATATGTAAGGACAATAAATCACGACCACTAATCCTAACAGTAAAAAGAATATTTAAAAAAAAGCATCAACACAAATCAACCACAAGGAAATAACCAAAGGTTTATGAATTTAGTTACAAGATAAAGTATATCATATAGCTGCCATAACAAAACTATATGAAACTATTTTGAGAGCAGTGATCCAACAATTTAAAATTGTTTTAATGGTAGTAAAGTGAAGCTTACCGCCTCATTCCAAAGCAGAACAACTACATATTAGTGTACTATATATACATAATCTTCAAGAAAATCTATTATTCAATGAAAATGTAAATAGATTTTTAATGCAGAAAGTATAAAGAAAATACTTAATTTGTCATCACATTTTTTGAATTCATAGACTCACTTTGATTCTCTTTCTTTCATTACGCCATTCCCTAAAAGTAATTAGAAAGTCATCAGGTGGAAATTAAGTAACATTTTCAAAGTATCAGTGTAAATGTATTTTCAGCTTACTGTTAAATATTAAGCATATACTACTGACATGAATGGTCTAAGCTATAAATAATCTTCAATCAGGTAGATATTTGTCAACTTCAGATTTTGACTTATGCAGGACAACATTAATGAACAATCTATTCTGTTTAGTTCAAGGAATTTTGTAGAGATCAATCTATAACGATTAAAACCTACAGATCTGTTCTCTTGTTGGACAAATCAACACAAACCATGTAATCCCTTTCTCACTGTAATCTTGAGTTCTTTAAGTGTATATAAAGAGTGGCTTTTTTCATTAATTCTTCAAAGGTACAAGTCACGTTTTATGTTCGGATATTCCGCAGCTAAGTAAGGTATATAGATCTGATGCGGAGTGCATATAAATCATATTTATTGATATGTGTATTATCAGTGAAAATTCATTTCGATAAATATACTATATCCCCTCGGTTATATTAAATACATATACCAAATATAACTTTCTTACAGTTCATTAATTTAAAGTCAACTGGTCAAAATGGAGGAAGATAGAAAAAAACAATTAACTGATTTTCTTAAATGCTACCTTATTATTCAACTTCAAGTTTTGTACAATTACAATCTTATTTTATTTACTAACGGAATGAAAATAAACAAATGAATATTGATAACTTTCAGATAAACAATATTATATGTATATAGGCTCGGCTTCATCAGTTGTCAAAAAAGGAAATAATAAGGAGAACTAAAAAAATACACCAAACAAATAAACATATAGTTTCATTTTGATTTGTCAAAAAAAATATCAAGGTAAACAGTTCAATGGGTTTTGAGAGACTCATTATTCCAGAAGATATGAATAAATTATATGGACTGTGTCTGTAGAATGATAGATAGTTATATGGAATGCAAAATACAAGAAATTGACAATGTTAGGTAAATCAATACAATCAGTAGAACAATACAATAAAAACTGCATTTCAATTACAATTAATAAACTTTTAAGCTTTAAACTCACCTTCCATAAGGTATTAATTTTAACTTAGAGAAATTAATATAATCTTGAAAACGGCGCCAGGCATTTTGAATAATACATGCAGCATTATCACGAATAAGCAGATTTAATTTATGTTTATCTGAAGGACCAACAACTAATCTGTTAGCCAGATACGCTAAAATAGTGATAACTAATCCAGGTGGAAGAATATTACTAAAATTAGCCGATGAAATTGGAGTAGAAAGAAGCAGTGGAACATCACCTAGAATTGAGAGCTGGATAATACAGAAATAAATAATAATTCAGAAATAGAAAACATCAAGAGATGATATAATGTGCGTGTCATAATTTTTCTGATTAGCTTGCAACAGTAGATGTTGAAAGTGTAGAGCATGTGTGCATAACAAGTATTCAATAACTGATTTTTCCACAACACTGCTCACCATCTCTTCTCAAATTAACATGTGGGCAATGATAAGGTTAAGCACATGATTTTATATACAGAAAGTAGGTTGTTTAGTAGATAAGCTTAAATGAGATAATTGACTCATGTGCTACACATGCAAGTCATGATCTTCATTCACGTGTGATACGAGATGAAATAGAATTAAGTTAGAAAAATTAAAATGACTGGATCAAAACAGAGCATTAGTCCATGGGGTCACTAATTATGTCTTAACTGTCCAGATTTCCGTTACGAAACAATGACAGAAAGCTATGAAGAAAATACTAAATAAAGATTTGCGTACTAGACTACAAGAAAGGGTTTACCGGTAGACAATTAGCCCAAGATTAGAGATATGATTTGAACAATCTTAAAGCTTCTTGTTTATTATTTCCAAGGTTCACTTTACATGCTCTTTCAAAACACCAATTAATAACTACATTGATGGCTCGCTATATAAAAAAATCACACCAAGAATCAATAAACTTTATAAAATAACTTTTTTCCTTAACTTAATTAAAAAGAGGGTGAAAACCTACTTTCTTTTGAAACAACGATAAATTGAACAGATTGTTGCGTATGAGTAAGTGGTTCGGCAGTGGAACCGATAGATTATTATTAGTATACGTTGTACACTGGCGAATTAAACCTTGAGGTAAAACAGTTGGTAAATAATGGTGCAACAGATAACATAATGCTCTACCATCGGTAAACGATTCATCTAAACTAGTAACCTAAAAAGATGAAAATACAACGAAGAGTCACGTGTTTTAGACAAATAAAAAATTTCATGGGATTACAAAATGTGGTCATCATAAATGAGCATAATGTTATGATTGTTCAGTAGATGCCATGAATTATAATAATCGTAAAATCGAGGACTAATATGGATCGAGCCAAGTTGACAAACTACAACATGCTTCGTATACTGTCAGATACAGTTCTTTTAACTGCGTAAGTCTTTTGGGATATTCAGAAAAATATCCCAATAATTATCCTGTTAAGTCTACTGGTGTCCTTGGACTTTAAATGGACATTTCCTATTGGTCAATGTTTATTTCACTTGTCAAATATTGTTTTCTATTTTATGGTACGATGTGGTCTGTTTGATTGGTATATAAACAGAGTATGTCTGAAATATAATGATTCATATCGCTGAGACTTGCGTTCTGAACTCAACTGGCTGGGCTAGACAGGGGAGCGGGGCCAGTGAGGACTCTAGATCGTTCTTGCGTGTTTTCGCGTCTTTGGTCCGATCGATAATTCGCTAACCTCCAATCAGCAGCCTTTTTTCACGTTACAACAAAGTCACAAACTAACAGGGTGATACATTTTTGTAGGCTCTAGAAAGTAATCAAAATAGTTATCAATGAGGTTATGAACTATAATAGAGTGAGTTATTTACAAAATAGTTGTTAGTAATCAAATTCAAATAATCCCGATTATCATTGGAATTAAAGGACAGTAGTAAAAAGGGTTACAGATTGTCTAGACATCATAAAAACCTTTAGAGATATTATGAAATCGTAAGAATTTTGGAAGGAAGTTCACACACTTTAACTTACTGGAACATTATACAAATGACAAACTAAAGCAGCCCAGTACAGTAATTTGAAGTGAGCCATATGGTTTTTATCGTCTTTTACATTATTGTCAGTAGATATATTTAACTTTAGATGATTTAATTCGTTCACACACATATTTGTATCAGATGAATTGATATTTGTTTCAAGAGTGTGAATTTCATTTTCTAATGCGGAATGGTCAAGTAAGGCAAGAACCTGATGACGTAACAATAAGCACCAAAGTAATGTAAGGGTTTTTTCACGATGTCCATCGACAATATCACGAGGATCAATTAAGCTCCCTTTAGTAAGAACAAAATATAAGCAAAGAACTGTAAAAAACATAGACAATTGATGCACTATAGAATAATACAATGAGTAGCTATTATAAATACACCAGTGACACTTTCAAGCAACATAGTTGGTGTAGCAATAATTAAGTGACACACTTATGAGTCACTCATCTATAAACAAAGCAAGAATTTTCATCAGTACAAAGATAGTGAAAAATTGGAAAATAATATCAGTGATAGTCGAACACTAAACGTAAGAAATATAGTTTCAAATGAGCGGATGCCAAGTTAGGCTCAAGATTAAGTGGAACTTAACAGATGAATAGATGTAACTTGTTTACCAGGTATAGAATCGCATACTCCACTTGGAGACACATACTATATGTGAAGGATAGTGAAATTACTCAATTGCCCAAACCGAAGTAAACAGAGGGAGACTGGCGGACGCTACCTAGCAATCGGAACGATTACTGTACAATGTACGGCGGATTTCGAGTACCTATCAGATCAATTATTCTTGACGATTTTGGAGATAAAATGATGGAGGTGTATTCAGGGACTAGTTGCATCTGATATCATGGCCCGAAGAAGCTTGAAGTGAGGGCACCAAATATGCCCATTGACGGGTTGATGACTATATTTTAGGGTCGAAAGCGTTCAAATTTATTGATAAACTTTATTTTTCGCTATCGCATTATGATTCATGCATTACAACTCGGCTTGTAGTTGGATCTAAAATACCTAAATTATAAACCGCGATAAACAAAGACAACGCTGTGAACTATTTATACAATAAGAACTTGCATAAAAAACTTATCGAACTTAAACTAAGGAAATATTAGGATCATAATAGCACTATACAGTTACGAATCCATTACATATTATAAAACTCAAAGGAAAGGCTATTGACTGGGTAGAACTTTATAAAGTTAGTAAACTCGATAAATAAATACATTACTTTGTTATGAAAAAAGATACATGATGAAGGATGAACGTTTGTCAGCACCTATGAAGGACATTTTAGTAATATAGTTAAATCAGTGACATTATTTATGTACGAACAGTCAGTCAGTCAGCTACAATGTAGGACCACGCACATATAATGCAACGGTTCAAGTTGCCATACCTCATTGACACAACAAGATGAACACCGAATTCATAGAAGTAGTTACTTCAGTGGTGGTAATATATAAAAGAAAGATTGCATATAAGGATCTAATACAGAATGAGAGAATTAGTTCGTAGAAAGAAAGATATGAAGCGATTTTAATCTCATAGTTTAAAGGAAGATAGAGAGTGTATAAAACTACGCAATTGTGATCGATTCTGAGCCATGTCACCCAGAGTCACCAACCAATGGTTACGATAGTCATGAGGACCCCAAACTTGAAGAGGCTTCGTCAGACACCAACCTATTAGGGTTGATCAGACTTCCAAGATAAGTGAAGTTGTCAACGCGTTCAACTACTTCAATCCCTATCTTTAGTTCAAGAGTTGACGCAGCCCAGTCCTGAAGCAACAACTTGCATTTAGAGGGGCAGAAGCGCATCCCAAACATCCTGACACTGTTGCTAACAAAAGACTGAATTTTATCAGTGTCTCCACCAAACAGGACTATGTCATCTGAGTATTCTGAATCGATAAGAATAGCTCCTGATAGGAGATCAATGCTCGAGAATTCTGTCGACGAGAACGTTATTTCCAACAGTAGGTCTATGATGAAGTTAAACAAAAATGGAGATAGTGGACAGCCTTGATAGATACCACATGAGGTTGCGAAATCAGATGACAGTTCGCCATAAGCTCTGACTCTACTGGTGGTGTTCGAGTAAACGGCCTTCACAAGGTTTATGTACTTCTGAGGTACACCTTTCAATGACAGACACTGCCACAGAACCTCTCGGTCTACAGAGTCAAATGGTGTTTTTAAGTCAAAAAAATTATCATTGTCGGACACCGATAAGTATGCCTGTGTTCTAGGACCTGACGACTGGTGAATATGTGGTCAATGCAGCCACGACCAGGTCTGAAGCCTCAATGAACATAAAAGTATACGGTGAAAAGTTAGGTAAAACTAACAAACTATAAAGACATACCGTCTGCCATTGATATTTGACCATATTGTTCAAACGATTTCAGGGCAACCCCAACATTGTGTATTTTTTGAAGGCGACTTATAGCAGGGAATCGAACCATAGACATGAGACTATTTGGTTTGATGACGGTAGATAGTTTCTCAGTAGACAATGTAGGAATTAATAATTCAGCAAGTTTTCTAAATAGTAATAAAATACCATTAGGGGTGATGGATGCATTAAGGAAGCAAAATTTGTAATATAAACGATGAGTTCTAACACAGATAACCATGTCAAATTTCAGTAAGGAAATACGTAAATGTAAATTGTATTTATTCAAGGTGTAATGAAACTCAATAAGTACAGCAAATAATACAAATAACTATTAATTATATTGTATAACTCACACCAAACGAACACCATCCCTTAAGTCCACGGCCAAGTTTTCAACAGTAAATTGATATTCGTCTAGTGGTGTTTGATTTACTGTGACTTGTGCTCCTAGGTAGGCTAAATGACGAACTAGATTATTTTCACCATGAAGAAAATTTTGAGCAAACGATAATAAGAGCGATGAAGAGGACTGAAATAAGATAAAGAAAAAATAATCTTAAAAATTACGTACAAGATACAAACCGACTGTCATATAAAGGTTATATTTGAAAAAGCAGTCAAAGTATAGTAAACTATGAATAACACTTAGAAAGTTAGACATTGTGGCAATACAATTAAAATAACGAAAACATGAAGTTATAGAGAGTAGGGTTCTTACAGAAGTAACTTGGTAATTAGAAATGGGATAAAAATTCAATTGAATGATACTTGAACTGGCAGTCATCAAACAGAATAAGGAGAGATAAGTTATGAAAGAAATTTTCCACTACCTTAAAAAAAGTTGACAAAGTTGGTAAGCAAAAACTGATCACATGAACTTTTTCTGATACAGAGAATAAAAACGTCTTTTGTATGTGGAAATGAATATCAATGATCAATAGGTGGGTGAATAGGTGTATGTCTAGTGTATAGATTAAAAAAGTATCAATAACCAAAAGAGAGAAGAAAAGAAATAATTATATTATTAACTATGAATTCTGAGATAATCATAACATTAAATTAGCCTGTTTGAACAACAAAACACAACAAATAATTTTAAGAAAACCTGGAAGCACTTGACGACCATTTCGTCCTATTGTGAGACCCCTCAGCAGTGCGCATCCACGACCTCGCCTTGCAAGATTCGAACCCAGGAGTCCCACAATAGGATGAAACGTTTATCCACTGCTTCAATTGATTCATGATTTTAACCATCGAAAATAATGTTAACTTGACTGAAGAAAATAAGTGTATAAAGAACGAAGTTTTTTTTATCAGTCACCGTTTCCTGAAAAAGAGATATTATTTATGTAGATAATAATCCACAAAGTGTTTATTTTAAAGGGAATCATTTGAAGAATATTTTTTACGTACGTTTATAGATAAATTTGTAGTGTTCAAATAAAACTATCATAAACAAAAACAGTAATTGTTCATTTCATCTTTTTCTCTTAACATGATCTTTTAATTCTATTATCAGTTAAAAATATAACTTACTTTAATGAGAGATTTAATACGAAATAAGCATGGATCATATTTAATTAACATATGCCTTTTAAAACAGTCTATAATCCAAATAAATATGATAAATCGTTTGATCACATGACGATTATAGAGGATATCACGGTTTGGTAATATATCTGTAAAAATTACACAAATAGAAAGTATTCAGTAAAGCTAACAAATTTTATTAGTTATTAGATATTCTTAAAAGAATATATATATATATAAATTGTGATCATGAACCGATCAACTTTAGACTACCATTGGAAACCTGGATGCACTGGAAGGTCATTTCGTCACAGTATGGGACTCCTCAGCAGTGCGCATCCATGGTCCCGCATGTGGGAATCGGACCTAAGACCTTCGGTCTAGCGCAAACACTGAACCTCCAAAGCCCTAACCCAATATTGTCTTCGATGGGTAACTGCCTTACATTCGACACGGATTAACTCCAGTGGTTATGGCTTCTTACTAGAACTCCGAGAATTACCTCTAGTGAGCAATATCGTGGATTGGTTGAGGTTAGATATTAACACCGTTGGATGCTAACTCAGTAGTCCAGAGGCTAAGCGATCGCGTGCGAGACTTAAGGTCATGGGATTCCATTCCTACATGCAGGATCACCGGTGTGCACTCCTGAGGAGTTCCATTTTATGACGAAACGGCCGTCCAGAGTATTTAGGTTTTCAGTGGTGGTCTAACTAATATCGGTTTATGATTTCAATGAAATACAAAAAGTAGTATCGTAGAATGAGAATTCTGAAGTACTAGCTTGGGATTGTTTGACAGTTCAATAATTCAGAACATTAGTTCTTCACGTTTCGTAATGAAGATTAAATTTAAGAGTTTCAACACCCTAAAGTATCACAGAGAATATTTTATCACAACATCGTAATCGAATGAAAATTGAACATTATTTAACTGTATTATTTATTTAATGTGTATAAAATACACAAATTACATGCTTAAATTACCAAGGTATCAATAAATGTATATGAATGAATTTATATTGCTCACAAAAAATATACTTATTTTCTGTGACAATATTCATAATTAACACTGAACCTGGCATAAATGTCCGTTAGTTCAAGTTGTCACACTACCTTAACACAACAGAATGAGGTTAACAAGGTAAATGACAAATGAGTAGAAATAATTGTACTAGTAATGATGATTAAGGATCAAATATTGAGAATATCATCCAACAAGGAATGTAAAGGTACGTATGAAGGAATACAAAAATCTAAGATTGAGAGAAAATGCAACTGCACTATTATGACTGACTTTAGGAAATATCACTCAACGTCTCTAGCTTTTGATTGCGGTCATTGAAGAGACCCAAATTACAAACTTCGTAACGTGGTGCAGATTAAAAGTCAATAACTGTATGGACTAATGCTATAGACAGTGCTCAAATGATAAATGCTTGATGCTGATCACACAAGATTTTTTTGTGATAAGTTTTTGATGTGTTAGGTCTGTTCTTATTGAATCTAAACACCGGCGACGATATCTGAGGAACAAGTTGAAATATCATTTTTAGAGTAGATATTTTCCAATCTCCTCCTTTTATTGTGGGAAGGCAGCATCAATGCAAATGCTGATTGTCTAAGAGAAACATTTTGCTGACGTTACAACCCTGTACAGTTGGTAGTAAGACTACATCCTCAGTGACACCGAATTTCTTAGCGTGTACATTATTTTGGAAAACACGAAATCTGAAAAGGTGTCACAGTTAATGTTTATCACTTTGACTTAACAGTATGAGATTGGAATGCTTACAAGAAATGAATGTAAAGGCCAAATATCAAAATATCTTATCTCTTTAAAGTCATGTAAATAAGCTTACTTGGCTTTGTCGAATTTGTATCGTTTCTAGTTGTATGATGAGACGACTGTTTTAGTTTTTTATTATCAGCAGCTGGTTTAATTGGTAAAAGTGGTTTATTCAGACTGAAAGAATCAAAAAGGTAACTATGTATCTTTTTAGATAAACAACTTGTATATACATTTTTGTTATCCTCAGGGTAGGGTTGGTCATTAATCTCTGGTATAATTGTAGAGCAAGCATTGTGTGACGTGACTGATGAATAAGACTGAGTCGAAGAAGAACTTATTAACGCATCCAAAGTAAGATGCAGCCAGATTGGAGCATAATTTAACAACAAATAGTCTTGAATTCGACGTTGGGAACCTTGAATTGGAAAAAAATTATGAATACTCGTTATATATTTAAAAGTGTAACAATCAACATACATTATTTAAAAGGTTAATACATACCTTTATCAACACGAAATGATAGCAGTTGGACAGGTGTTAGCTTTCCATTGTCTACTTCACGTTCTATGCGTTCTCCAGGAGTCATTATAACAGTTGAAGTCAGTAATTCAACTGCTTTCTCCACTGTTGAATGATACACACTTGATCCAACTACACAAATATCCTTGGAAGAGGTCATTGGATGTCCATTGTAACTATTAGCTGCAATACATGGAGCAAATACACCATTCAGCCACTGAGTCAAACCATAAACACTCATCTCAGATAAAACAGAGGTCACGTTAGTGTAAAATAGATTTCCATCCTGTTTCTTTTTATAGGTGGATACAGGTGCACAGGTAACTGAAAAACAAAGCGAATATAAAAATAATGTACAATTGTTAAAAATGAAAATCGAATGCTTTTCTGTCTAAATAATAACAAAAGTTAATGACCATTTAAATCTGAAATAACCATAGACACAAATGATTAGCACTTTTCAATAAGTAATAGAGAAGGAAGGTGAGAGTAGTAAAATGAGAATTATGTAAGTTATTCAAATGCACTTATAAGAAACGACTTAGATGATAAGTTGATTACAAAATTACTCAAGTTTTGTTAAAAATGCTGAAATTTTACTAGAAACGATAACCACGACTGTTTTTTTAAAGTTCAATTTTCCACACGATTTTTGCCTTTTCCTTATTAAGTTACAACTACTTTCAGCTCGCCGAAATTCTGTGTGCGTGATCATTATGTTTTAGTTACCATACATAAAGAGTTGTACCATTTCATTTTACTTTACTTGTATTCTAATATCAAGTTTTCCTAAAATTCGTCTTCTCTCTGTGTTAATGGACAAGTATTGAGATGTTGTGTGCTAGGTTTCTTTATCGATCTATGTAATAAAATAGGTCGTACTACAGTAGCTCAATTGTTTCTAACTCCGCAAGTATTGTAGGCTAGTACTAGACCCCGAATATTGAGATTTAATAATAACTGAGATAAATATTACGGAAAAAGAATATCTACGTGCTAGAAATGCAAAACAATTGAACGCAGGTAAGTTAGGAAAAAACCACAGAAAGTTGCCAACATTTAAATCACGCAAATGATGAACAGATATAGAGGAAATGCTTATTAAGCTAATGTATAGACATAATTTTCATATACATATATTTTAGATATACGCTTTTCATTTTTAGGAATATGTTTCTTTGAAATTCTTGCATCAACAGCCATGACATGTACATACTTTGAAATGATCGAACGTTCTTAAAAGAAATATTTAAAAAGGTTTTAAAAGTGTGTTATTATTATTAACACGAAAATGAAGTTTTAAAATTAATGACATATTAGTAGGAATCAGAATAAGATCATCCCTTATTACTTAATTTTTTTATAAATTACATCTTTTAATATCTTAGTTGTATATTCGTAAACAGATTATGATTTATTTGTAATGGTTGTTTGAAAATTTACATTGATGTTCATTACTCTAATTGATCTTTCGGTATATATGGATCCTGTGCGGATTGGAACGATAATGCCTTAAGCCACAAGCATTGTGAGCAGATATAGATGGTGGCTAGTAGTGGAATCAAGGACGGGTGTTTTGTCTTAGCTGGGACTCGTCAGATGAATGCACCTGGGTCCCAGAGTTGATGTTAACCCGAGCCAACTTCTGTTTGCCTCATACACTATCCCGTTATCCACCTCGATACTGACTTTTGAAATGGGCTGAAGTTTAATTCATTTGTATTGATTATTTGAACCTTCTCACTAGTGTTTAGGACAGCAACTGATCAGTCTTTTTTGGCGTATGTGAATCCTGTGAGGATTGCCTCAATATTGCCTTTAGTTACACGCATCATGACTGTTGGAAGTTTTATTCAGAGACGCAGATAAAAGTAACTTGAAATATGACACTAGTGTACGTTGTAGTGGCTGTGCTTCGATAACTAATCACCCTCTTACCGTTACCATATAATCTTCGACGGTTTTTAAAATCAGAAGGTAAAAAGAAGCAGCTACTACAGTTTTATTAGCAGATAATTCGAACCACATAGCAGAGAGGCAAAACGAATGAGCAAGCGAACTGTGACTGCAGCAGTAGTAGTAAATATATATATATATATATATATATATATATATATATATAGGGAAATGGATGAGTCAACGAATAGATTAAACAGTTAATAATGTAGTTGGCATGATGAATATCTGAGTAGGCTGTAAAAAATGTTCGTTCACACATATTTTATACAAGTACACTAATAATAAAAGTACAAGTTGTTATGGTGCAGATGACTTTGTTCGCTAAATAAGTTAGCAAAAAGGCTTAACTGAGTTAAATGAGAATAAACTCAATTGCACGTGAGTCGCTATAACGTCTTTCTGCACAATATGAGGAAATCTGTGACAGAAAAAGGAGTAGGACTTGTTACTTTCAAAAGTAGGGAAAAAAAAACAAAGTGCAACGGAGGTAGGCGAAAAGAAAGGTGATCTAAGATGAATAGGACAATGATTAAGTTATGATGTCAAGTTTGGAATCACAGCAATAACCTCATAGTTTGTTAAAACGATAAGGAAGCTATTATTTATTCGCACTTCAGCCAACATTAATGAACAAAAATGATCCATGAAAGTCTGCTTACAAATACGAACAAAGTATCTTGGTTGTCGTGGTTGTAGTAAATTATCATAAATGACGTCATTTATATTTAATGACCTTTCTTAGACTACACTTCTAACAATAGTTTTGTTCTATTAAGTAAGTTTTCACAATTGAAAACGACAAAGAGGATAAATGATTGGCTGTCCTTATTTTTCTCAAAGTAAATGGTATACAATGCATAACAAAAATAGTTCTATTTCTCCAGTAGCCAACGTTCGTATACTTCTACAACATCAGCCTGTAAAAGTTGAAAGCTGCTAGGCTGGTATGGTGATTAGATCACTTCAATCAGTTACAGCTGTGAATCCAAATTAGATAATTCTACGATGTATTATTACTATTAGGCTTCAGGTAAAAGGAACACCAGGGTCCAAAATATGATCTTGAACATGCCTAATGAGCTAAGAAAATGCATTACTAATTCACAAAAGTAATGAAGGACAATCATGTCAAGAATATAAGATTTATTTTATTTTAGCTTATCATGGTAAATAGCACTTCACGCTACTAATACTTTCATTTATCAACACTCTTAAGAATAAAATAATTCAATATTGCATCAGCATAATTCTCTTGTTTATATAGGAGGTACATCGAAAACGACATTCAAGAAGATTTGTATGAACTATAAGAATAAGAACGATTGAGAGGTCTGTGTTCAAACTAAATATGAGAGCATCAAGTAGATGAGAATGCTTGTGCAAGAAAAAACTTTATAAGCAAAAGTTATTAATGTGATAGACGGCGACTGGCAAATCCTTTCATTACCAACAAAATAGCACAAAAATGAACGAATTAAAACATTAATATTACCTCCTTTCAAAGCAGGTGAACGTACAAGCTTCGGTGAAACAAACGCCGTAGCAGTGCAATTCAAAAAATTCACATCTGTAGTTAAATTCGTATCTGAGCACAACTTATTTGATCCAGTTATTGACTGTCTAGATGAACTCAGCTCCTTCATCTCATGGAATCTACCAAAAACAGACAGATTTCTAGTGGGAGTAGCACTTGTCGGCTGTGAACTTGATCGACGTCGACTTTCTGTTGTTTTAACTTTACAAAATAGTAATGACAGATTAGCAGTAATTAAGCATAATACTACTCCAAATACTAGAATTTCATCAACACTATGGCTACAGATTAATAAACATCAAGGTTATATTAGAACCATTGCGACATACAAGAATTTAAAGGAAAGAGAGTCGGTAGAAATATGTTTGTATCAGGAATACAATATTGACTGCATTGTAAGAAGTGTATGAGCAGAGCAAACTCTTATGATAAACCGCTTGATTCATAGTGTAGAGGTAAAAATGATTCACAGATGTAGAAGATACAAACGTGATAAGGTTAAGATGTCCAGATTGTATTTTTAAATTATGATTTCAATTTAGTGGAATAACTTATCGTGAACGTTTGTACTGTTTTTAATAACGGAATACGAACAAATCATAAGTTTAGAAAATATGTAATCAAGTCATAAAGCTGATTACTTTACTCGGTACAATCATAGCAATGATAGTTGGAAACAGAAGCCTCATATTACTGAATACATGAGATGTGTAGCATTCATGAGAAACTCACTTTGTTTTTATTTAAAAAGTTATAATTCGTTTGTTAACTTATTCATAATAATTCACTTTGGAATGAAATCTTGATCTTTGGAATTATAACCCTATACGTTAAACTATCTTTTATGCTAGTCATAGAATCATGATGTCCTTCTTTAATGTCTGATCCAAAATTTACCTTTCAAAACTATATCACTGTACCATGAAGACTGTTTAATATATATTTAGGATTATCATTTCATGAATAAAGTGGAAGAAAGTCTCCTTAATAGTGTTAAATCAGTTTTGCCATCTCCCTTACTCGGCACTTTTTGTAAAACACACTGTGCTACTTATTGATATTCAGTAGTTTATGTTCATTCAACTTTGATTTGTCTTCAAACTGCATCACGAAACAAACCGTAACTTGGAATTCTGAAGCCAAAAGGAAAAGAAGCAGATCAAAGAACATATCGCGCCGGGAATTGGAGACAGACATCAAAGGAAGGCATAGCAATTAGAAACAACTGGAAAGAGGAGCTTAAGACAGGGTTGGAGAGTTTTAGTAGGCGGTTTACGCTCCATGAGGGGCAACAGGTATAATGAAGTCATTTTACTAGACTGCTAATCCCAAACATTTGTAAAATTTCCTCTATACAATTTTCCATTTGCACTTCATGTAGTAATTGTCCCTTTGTTATGTGTAATCTCTATTATATATGCCACTAATTGACACCTTGTCTGAACATCTTGACTTCTATAGAACTATAGCGCTCAATTCTTTGGTGATCGCGGGTAAAAGTTTAACACAGCATTGTAGAGTCCTATGACCCCCAACAAATAAGTTTTTTATTCATTACATTTAACAGACATGCTTTATACTTTGCTGCATCTTGGCGGCGTAACAGATGTTAATATACCTAACGAGTTATTATTTTTGTTTCCTTTCGTAGTACTGTATTCCAGACAAGACCTGTCTTTAGATTTCGAGATTTTGCACATAAATCAGTCAGTGGGTCAGAATCTGCAAAAGAATTTCATGAATGGTGTGTAAGGACTGGTTGACATTAAAACCAATGCCCCAAGCTATATAGCCTCCTATTCCAAACTTCGATGAGAAAGTCGCAGGTGGTTTCAGTTCTTCTGGAATAAACTGGAGTATTGGAAGAGGATAATAACGTGATGACGAATTCTCAACAACATAATACCCACGCTACTGAACCTAGTGTTTTCACTCCCCATTGAGTCATAACAGCATTCCTGATCTAGTTTTCGGTTGAGAAATTGCTCCTCGATGTTGAAGTCTCAAAAATATCTCTCGTCAAAGTACCAGGAGGCCCGGAAATCCCAAGAAACGCTTTATCCAGTCAGCATTGAATAGGATCTTCGCAGAAACATCTAGAAAATGCAGAACCAGATGACACTCGTTCGATTGGATATTTACCTACACTATTACTAAGTTTAATATGGTTCCAGAAGCTCAAGAGCGCCTATAACTCGAGAAATAACCTCGTTTTTTCTGCATACAAACTAACCTTGGAGTAAAGTGTTCTTTTCGCACATTGTGTATTTTCTCTTGTGTTTAGGTTGACGTGTAGATTTAGCTTGAGTTTATTGGCAAAGGGCTAGGAAATCGGATCGAGCGTTCATTTAGCAGACTTATCACTACCAGTATCAATTAACAAAGAACATGAAATCAGTGACAACAAAATGGTTTCCTGTGTTTCTCTCACTACTATCGCCCATTCTAAAAGCCTATCATTACAACCATTCAATATTAAGACCGTAAAAATCCAGACAGAGATCTCCTAAAAGTGAGCACATATACAACTAAGACGGAGTTGTAAATGTATCATCTATCGAATATTGAATTTGATAAGACATACGCATCAAGAACACTATAATGATGAGGCTAAAATTCATGTTATAATGATGAATCAAGACTCCAATAATGTCACAAAAAAGAACCCATATTGACGGGACACATCCTACATAATCAACTATCTCAGAACGATACTCAACGAAGTTAGAATTTTTAAGTCATGTTAACAGTTAGTCTCAGTATTTAAGTTTTTAGGTTTAGCAACGTATCTAACTGTCTACAAAAAGGCGTTCATATTGCACAATACTCGTTTTATAATATTCTATGACTTTGAGCTATAACTAATAGAACTGAGAAGTAACATGTGAAGTATTCGGTTAAGGAATTCTCTACAACAATGCTCAATATCTGTTCTAAAAATAAAAAAGTGAGAAATGTTGGGGCATAAAATTTCAAATGAGGAAAACAAGCCATTTGGTCGACAAGTTTGAGGACTTAGATTTATTAAGACAACTGGACTATGGGTTACATATGACAGGTTATCAGCTTTAATGAAATGCGATATGAGCTGAAATAGAAATAAGTTGAAAAAGTATTCAGATCAAAACATAACACGAGTCTTTGGAATCACTAATTACCTATCTCACTTGTGTAGGTAGGTACCAGCTTCTCAGATGAAGTTCTCAAGATGATAGAAACCAGCGATTAGAGACGAAAAACATATTGGAATCGATTACAATCGTGTAGATACACTTACACTATCTCCTACATTATGAGTACATGATTGTCAATTTTGATTCATATACTTCAGGTTCATTACAATATCTTTTGTTGGGCGATTGCTTATGGTTGAAGTACTCGAATTTCAGCTACTGTGCAATGGATTTAAACTGCACCTCATTTACGTCAACTTAAATATATGGGTAGTATTATTAACGCCCAAGCAAAGTCATATATGGGGCATTAATGCAGAGCTAAATGATAGTTAATTTCCAGATGCTTTATTCTGACCAGGAATGGGATAGTTTCATCTATCCTTCTGAAATGATATCATTTAGTTTATGATCCTATAAGAAATTCTTATTTACTTCTTGAATGATATAAAGGTGATTTTACAAAATTATGAACTAGAAGACAGAGATTCAGTGAATACGGATGGAAGTGCTATGGAAATTCGGAGAAGATAGGCTATATAATCCTGAATAGGCGGATAGCATATGGATCTAGCTAACCACTGGTTAAAAACAAAAAAAACATATCATAGAGAACAATATAAATCACGACATCAATGTATTATTAACCACACGGTGTCATTTTAGTTTTCCAACCTCAGATCATAATATTCGAAGACCGATCCACCTAGTATGGCTTAGGTAACCGGATAGTATCATTAGCGCATACAAAGAACTATGGCTTAAGGTCGAGTGGATAAACATGTACTTACATAATAGAATAAAAACGAACTCATTAAAACATTAATATTACCTCCTTTCAAAGCAGGTGAACGTACAAGCTTCGGTGAAACAAACGCCGTAGCAGTGCAATTCAAAAAATTCACATCTGTAGTTAAATTCGTATCTGAGCACAACTTATTTGATCCAGTTATTGACTGTCTAGATGAACTCAGCTCCTTCATCTCATGGAATCTACCGAAAACAGACAGATTTCTAGTGGGAGTAGCACTTGTCGGCTGTGAACTTGATCGACGTCGACTTTCTGTTGTTTTAACTTTACAAAATAGTAATGACAGATTAGCAGTAATTAAGCATAATACTACTCCAAATACTAGAATTTCATCAACACTATGGCTACAGATTAATGAACATCAAGGTTATATTAGAACCATTGCGACATACAAGAATTTAAAGGAAAGAGAGTCGGTAGAAATATGTTTGTATCAGGAATGCACACTATATGTTATCGTCTACCATATGAAGGAAAGCCTGAAAAATCAGTAACAACCAATAGCTACATGGCAATAAGTGAGAAGCATGAAGTGATAATTTGAATACTGATGCAAATCATATCGAAAAGGGTTAGATCTTGTGGGAGTTGGTCTATGACGTGGCGATGGATTAGCCTTGAGACTTATTGTAAGCCATTTCGGCTTTTTGTAAAGTTAAGGTATGGGTTGAACCACTTCATTATTGACTTATTTTTCAAATAAATAAATAACCTCCTATTAGCAACTTCAAGTGGTATATTGATATTGTTCTTATCGCTCACATCTTTCGTTCAAAAATGTTCTAATTGGTTAATAAGGATGATACGTCGATGAAAATTATGAAAGGAACATTGGAAAATCCCTGGACGTTTAGTCACATTATTTCAGTAAATATTTGGTAATTGTCTTCAGGCATATACAAAATAAAACAATAGTAATTATTATAGATACTTACGTAGAAAGTCGTCTGCACTTAATTCATCGATAAATGATTTTTCAATTGCTTGTGGACGACAACAATCTGTATTCTGAGGTCTTTCAGATGTGAAGCTAGAAGTGGTGAGATTATTGAAATCACAGCTTTGACCAAAGACGGTTGTAGGTTGTGTAGAAAATGAAGAAGATATATGGCGATGAATTTCGGATATTGGAGAAATGGACTAGGCCAAAAGTAGAAATATACATACATATAGTTTTATTCAAAAGCAAGTCGCATTTATACTTAAAAAGTACTTCAATTTCTAGTTTAGATCAACGGGTTTTCTAGAGATCAGTTTAATTTTTAAACTGTTTTTGTTACAGATTGGTTGCAGTTGAAGAACTACTGAAAACGCGGGAGCACTGAACCTGAAGGTTCTAAGTTCGATGCCTACTGAGGTCGTATGTGTAGACTGTTGAAAACTCCCATACTGGGATTTAACAACTTACAACCTTCACATAAAAGTTCCAAAAAGTTAAAGGAATTGTAATGGGCGTACAATGAGTTGATTTACCAGTTTATAGTAAAATATATGATTAAACAATAAAATATTTGATAATTGTATATAGAGGATCTCTATAAAAGAATTATAAATTAATTTACTTTCTTACACAGCACTTATACAAATATGTAGAATGATCGTATCTGATTCCCTAATAAAAGGTTGGAAATAGTGTGTAATAGTGCTTTCACATATACAGAAAACATATATGACTGATAATGGTAATATATATTGGATTTTTCTACTAGTGAACAACAAGTTTCATGAAAAAAAGAGACTGTACACAATTTTATAAACAATTGGTGTTGCAAACATTGCCACATCACATAGTTTAATCAGTCCAACTGATGGACAAAATAATAAAACTAGAAATCGAAATCAACTTAAAAATTGAACGGCTTACACGTGAGTTAGCAGGTTTATTTTTTATATTATTTTTAGAACAGTATGCAGACGAATTGGAGGAAGAAGTTTTAATCCAAGCGGGTAAATTGGAAAATCGATTAGTTATTGTTTTTCTAGGTGCAAGAAACTAAAAGAACAAAAAAGAAAGTAAACTTCATGTATATTCCTACTATAAGTATAACATATATATTGCTGGGTTCAATTAACATAACGTTAATTAAACTAGTTACATTCTGAATGAGAATGTATTTATTATTATTTTATTTTAACACATAAATATTGGTACAAGGAGGCACCAAATACATATGCGCCACACAAATCTCATTCGATATGTGTGAGGGCTGTGATACTGCCCGGGTGCCCAAACCGAAGCACGTGGTTTTCTTAGGGGGCCACACCTAGAGCCTTCGACCTGAAGGTCTGATCCACAAGGCAGTGGAGCATCGTGAGTAGATGCAGTCCCATGGAAGCCGGTGACCAACGATTGGTTCGTACGCCATTTAGATACTGTTTAGTAGATAATAAATTCAGACACTTAATATAAAATAGGTAGGAAACGAAACAAGTACTCAAACTCTTCACTAGGATATTCAAAATGATTTTGAAAAAAAATTAGTTGATATACCGGATTATAGGCAGTACACTAAATAGTAAAATATATTCAGAAGAATATTTAAATTATACAGGATTTTCTACAATAAATAAATACTAAGATAGTAATATAGAGTTAGTGTTACTACTCAATTTTGGACGACAACATAGACTCATTGTGTGATGTCAGATCACTTTCCGATTGGCGAAAATAAGGTACAATTTAGCAATATTATATAGATTTATGTGATAAAATGTGGGTTAGGTAAAAATTGATGATCTTTTTACATTTTAAAAATCATGTTGACTACTCAGTCGTTGCTTACGAAATAAGATAAAGCCAGCAACGAATCTAGACCAGTTTGCACTATATATTTAATCATCAACATCGACAAATAAATGTTATGGTAAATTATGGTAAACATAAATTATATTTATAACTATTTCAAACATGAATAATCATTGTTTGCTTGAGTCATACCTTGGAACGACTAGGCCTTTCAGGTGGTAACAAACGACCGACAATGACAGCCTGAATAAAGTAAGCGTCATTAACACGAAACTGAATCACATGATGAAAACTGTAAACACCACCTGAGACAGAATCGCGAATAGGTATCCAGGTTATCTTCATGAGAGATCTACCATGGAGAGGCTTGAGGATGATTCGTTTAGATATTGCAGGATGGAATGGTCGAGATGTAAAATTGTCAGTTTCCGAAGTTATCCAATCAATGGTGAATTCATTTTCCGGAGGACTACGTTGGATCATCACCTTTTCGAAATTAAAAAAAGTGATTTTAGTTTTCGTACCATTAAAGAAGAATAAATAGAATTGTTGTGAAAATAACTTTTTGATTAACACCAATAATCAGTCAATCTTCGAACATCAAAAATGAAGCTAGAAGCCGTGTTAACCAAAACTTGAGATGTGATTTAAGCATCAGACCGTGATATTAGTCAGATGATTGGAACGCTTGACAGATTTGAACTCAATCGTACTTACCAATTATCGACTTTAGTGCTTAAATAAGTTAAGTGAGTAGATAAACATGTAGATTGTTAGCAAGTTCCACCATATTATGATCGAATTGTAAGAGGAATAACTATAAGAGGAAACACGTTTAGTATTTGCTAACGTAAGTGTTAGCAATAAGCGATGGGAGAGAAACAGTGAATTTATTTGCACATTTTTAATGAACGTTAATCAATCAGTGGTTTTATGGTATTTTAGTATAGTTCTAATTGTAAGTTATTGTTTGATTCAATGGTTGATTTTAGATCTTCTGGATGTCGTAAACCACACTCGATTAATTGTAAGTTCGTTTCAGTTATGCAACAAAATATCATTTATGTCATTATTAAAACTTTTTATTTATGTGTTACGGTGTTGCACCATACAAGTGTAACCACATGAGTTCAAAGTCCAGATAATATAGGAGTTTGGGAACGTTGGAGTTTTTGTAGCCTTGTAGTGTCAGTCATTATTTTAAGCCATATATCTTATTCTAGCTTTCGGACATTCCATTCTATTCATTCTCCTAGAGTCATATTTTGACCTGGTCAATTATTCGCTGTTTTTATATGAACGTATATGTGCGTACACTTCATATCCCATGACTCATCACATGTTTGTAGTTTATTTTTGTCTGACTATAAATATTGAGTAACGCTCGACTAAAATGGAGTTGGCTTCCCAGCCATCTTCCCTGTGTGTCGTTTTGCTTTGCTATGTTTCATTCGCTTCATATACAAAATATATGCATTCACAAATCAATTCTCGTTATTCGACTTATTTAATTCCGTTATTGGATAACGTGATTTAAGTCGACGATGATATACGAGAATAGGCGATAACAAACATTTATGCGATCTAAATAGGAGTCAGATCCACAGGCCACTAAAGCCTATCGATCGTGCGACAAATGAATTAATGGAACAAGTGGGTTTATTGCTTATGGAATAGGCGAAATCACAACAATGAGAATTTTACAATTTTGAGTGAATATTTTGAAGATAGTTGAAGACACGAAAAGGGGTTCACAAAAACTAACCATAATCGAAATTGATTGCAGGAGAGTCTCTATAGTCCCATTAAAACTAAGAAATAGACACAATTTTTCAACATCTGAGATATTCACTAATGCATACATATCTTCAGTATTGGATTAGAGAATAGGTCTTTTAATAAGAGAGGGGTGATTGGATGAGAAAACTAGGGATCTTGACTTTGACTACATGATCATAAGATCTGGTATCTGGATCTGCATGGTGAATTGGATGTGTTGTTTAATATACATATTTTAAATATTCTAATTGAGCTTTAATGAGTTAGGAAATGAAAACGTGTGAAAATACTTAGTCAAACGTTTATTGGAAAATATTATTTTTAGCTTACGTAGATATATCTATAGGACCCCTAAATCAAGTACTCGTAATAATTAGTACATCCGTTGCAGGGATCGTGTCTGACCTATAGTTGACATACGTGGGAACTAAATTTTATATATAGTAGGCAATCCATTTGGAGAAAAGATTATATTGACAGAAATAAGTCAGTAAAAATTCAAAAGACAAGGAAAATTGTTAATATGAAGCACGGATGCAATAAAGGTAGCATACAAACCAAACTGTTAGAAAATAAGCACTCACTGATTGCTCTTCATCAAAATGGTTTACTAACAGCAAGAAACGAGTCAGTGACCTTCCTGTAAAGTTGGTCGTACCAAAATCTACAACAGCTCTTCTTGAGAACATGGATACAGAAAGAGTGTCAGAGACGTTTACTGTGAAAGGAACTTCATTCTCGTCTCCATGTAAAGTCACTTCATAATTGCCACTGGGTGATTTTGTTCCACTCGCATTTTCCTGAAACATAATGAGCACGCAATTACGTGAATATCAGATTTTACACAATACTCCGATTTCGGTAAACGAAAACGTGAGAAAAGATGGACACTGATATACAATGTGAGATATTACGGACACAAACAACGGCAAGAGACCGAATGTGAACATACACAATAATCTAGCACTGAGATTCGAGGATAAAGAGAGAAAAGGGACGGACGAGTGAGATAATACAATCTCAACAAAATATAAAAAAGTCATATAACTACTCAGCAAGTGATACGATGGAGACATAAACACTTTGTGTAACTGAAGTTTAACTGATCAGAACAAACAATAGAAACCTTGCAACCACAAGTGGCGTTTACGGACATGATATCAATATATATAGTAGTTATCCATGTTTATTACGACCTTCACGCAAAGCACTTGATACTCAGCTATAAGGTCATAAGGTTTGAAGCCCTCAAAAAACTACGTCAGTTTGATCATAAAAATAGCATCCTTAATCCTTACAAAGTATGGATAAAACGCAAGTACATGAATTTGTAATTAATTAATTAGTTGTAAAAAATTTACCATCAAAACTGCATATTTCATGTGATAGATAGCAGTAAACTGATGACTGAAAGATGTAAAAATTCCTTCGAAAATATGAGCGTACGATTTCCGTGATAATGACTGTTCATAGTAATTTCTTTATTTAGATGGGGCAAGCTTATAGAGTAGATAAAGGACTTTTCAAACATCCTTTTGGAAGATGGAACTCCTTCTCAGAGTCTGTAAATCAGACATTGAGTGCGATGCTCGCTTTCAAGTCATATGTGAACACTGCGATGCGGTTAGCAATACTTCATTTAAATAGGCTAAATCTGACAATAAACATGAAATAACTGAGAGTAACACATCTCGATCCATATATAGTATGCTAGTTGTTAGACGTATTAAGCTATATGCTTTCAATGAGCCACTAATGTTCGAATAAAGAGCATTTGAGAGGTTGAAGCACATTTTTCGTACACCCGTTAGTAAATACCAAAAAGCCTCTCGGTCGACTGGGTTCAATCCTGTTTTTAAGTTAAGGAATATAATCAAAGTTGGAAATCGGTATGTCTATGTGCTTAAGAATCTGCCGAAGGGTTTGGCCAGTGCATGCACAGCCAAGTCTAAAACCATGTTGGGTTTTCAAATTCGCTGTTAAGTGACCGGAAAATATTATGAGCTAATGACTGTAAAAGACTGAACGATGACAACATTAAAACTACTTGTGTAGTAAATTCAAACTGAGAAAACTGAATTTACCGAAACTTACATCTTGCGTGGTGATCTGGTCAGATTCTGACTGCTTCTTAATGAGATAAGACTGCGAAACTGTTAAGAAGGGTCGATCTTGATCCAGAGACGTTATACACAAAGGATTTCTATCTGTACCGAACCATGATTTACGCACTTTCTGAGATTCCATTCTAAAACAAGCACCCAGGATTATTGTTAGTTGATAAAAAGACTTCAAAGTATTGCTGCTTCAAAATGTTATTTAACACAGGTGGCTACTATGTTTTCTACTTGGGACCAGACTTTCCTTATATGCTTTAAGGTAAATAAATCAGCATAAATTCTCGGATTTGGACGAATATGTTTAAGAAAACTGGGTGCCGAGTGAATAGACGTTACATATGAATTACATTAGTAGGGATTTTACCAATTGAAGTCAAATATTATGGATTGTTTTCTTTGGAGTTTAGAACTAAAAATCAAAATCCTTCGTAAAGGTTTTGTGATTTAGAGAGGAGGATTGACATACGAAGCCCTGCAGATATTGATGAACCCCAATAATCTGAATAAAAGGGATGGAACATGATAGCAGCATCATGGGGGCTACCGACGAATAAATATAACATAACTGCTACGATTTGACTTTCACTGCAAATACTATGATCACGATCAACAGAAATGTTTGTTAGCCTACTAGAAGGGTTAATTTGGCCTCAACTCGAGAATGACCATATATGATCACTGAATTTGCAAGAGAATTACAAGACAGTAAATGAATAGAAATACGTGTTGGCTTCATCATCAACCGCAGCCCGAATATTTGCAGTAAAATCGCCACATGCCGAAACTTAATGATGTGTTAGGGACCACGAAGAATAACACTACGTACGTGGGGATTCATTTCATTTTAACACATAGATATTGGTACAAGGGGGCACCATATGCGCCACACAAATCTCATTTGATATGTGTGAGGGCTGTGATACTGCCCGGGTGCCCAAAACGAAGCAGGTGGTTTTCTTAGTGAGCCACACCTAGAGCTTTCGACCTGAAGGTCTGATCCACAAGGCAGTGGAGCATCGTGAGTAGATGCAGTCCCATGGTAGCCAGTGACCAAGAAACTGGTTCATATGCCATTTGCTCCTTCAGGATACTGGAGCCCATGTGCACCAGTGGTTTGGAATCAGAGTTTTCCAACTCCCCTAGGTGGACTCTCCATGTCCACCAACATTCGCTTTTCGTCCTCTCAATTTCGTAAACAACAATAGTGCCACGAAAAGGCAATGAGTAGGACTTCCCTGACAGAGGCTATATACGCGTGGCCATGTGAGAGCATTTCGAGAGGTAGAGCGGACTCTCCCCACTCTCGGCTGTACCAAGGCATTTGGGGGCAAATAGGAACAATAACGGGGCAAATTTGTATGCATATAGCATACAATTCTCTTTGAACCTAGCACACAACAATAGCATCATGCACTGTTCCATCGCCCTTGGCAGATCAGGCAACCCGAAAATTACGTGAACACCGTCAGGGCATACGACAAGCTAGGTATCCTGAGAAGAGTCACAATAACGAAACCATCAAGAAGCAGATAATTCTTGACCATCCAAATAGGGATTTTAAAACAGTAAGGGATAATGTACCATCATAAAGATGGATAAACACATCTTTACTGCGACACACAGCATCGATGAAGGATATACATGGGGATGGTGTATGTTGTAAACCACTGAGTGGAATACAACTTAAATCTGCGATGATATGCAGATAATCAAACGATGAACTGCCTGGAAAGTTGAACATTTTTAAATTTTGCTATTGCAGACTTCTCGACAGTAACTGAAGTTTAAGAAACAATAGCTAATCTGAAACGAGGAAGAGCAGCTGGTTCAGATGAATTGGCTCTAAAGGTCTTTAACCATGGTGGCCCAGTTTTAGCGATTAGATTGACTAATATTTTAGCTAAAATCTGGGAGTTGGACGTAACCCCACCTGACTGGTCGCAATTACTGATTGTCCCAATACATAAGAAGGGGTCAAAATCATCCTATGCTAACTATAGAGGGATTAGTTTGACTAACATAGAAACTAAAATACTAGCTTCAATAATTATCGGACGCTTAACAAAGACTCGTGAACTGCAAGCACGAGAAAATTAGTCTGGCTTCATCGACCACATATTCACCAGTCGTCAGGTCCTAGAACACAGGCATGCTTATCGGTGTCCAACAATGATAATTTTTTTTACTTAAAAACACCATTTGACTCTGTAGACCGAGAGGTTCTGTGGCAATGTCTGTTATTGAAAGGTGTACCTCAGAAGTACATAAACCTTGTGAAGGCCGTTTACTCGAACACCACCAGTAGAGTCAGAGCTTATGGTGAACTGTCATCTGATTTCGCAACCTCATGTGGTGTCCATCAAGGCTGTCCACTATCTCCACTTTTGTTTAATTTCACGATAGACCTACTGCTGGAAATGACGTTCTCGTCGACTGAATTTTCGAGCATTGATCTCCTATCAGAAGCTATATTTATCGATTTAGAATACACAGATGACATAGTTCTGTTTGGTGGAGACACTGGTAAAATGCAGTCTTTTGGTAGCAACAGTGTCAGGATGTTTGGGATGTGCTTCTGCCCCTCTAAATGCAAGTTATTGCTTCAGGACTGGGCTGCGTCAACTCCTGAACTAGAGATAGGGATTGAAGTAGTTGAACGCGTTGACAACTTCGCTTATCTTGGAAGTCTGATTAACCCTAATAGGTTGGTGTCTGACGAAGCCTCTGCACGGATTCAGAAAGCTCGTTCGGCTTTTGCCAACTTATGTCACCTATGGCGAAATATCCGTCTATAAATTAAAGGACAAGTATACTGCACGGCAGTTCGTTTTGTTCTACTTTAAGGATGCGAAACATGGCCATTAACAGTAGAAAATACTTGCGAGTTACTAGTATATGATCGCAGATGTCTTAGAAATTATGCTCGCACCTGTTGGGATCACCGGGTAATAGTGAGGTTAGGCGCGGAATATTAGGGAATGATGGTAAATCAGTTGTGAACCTTCATCGACTGAGATGGTTGGGCCACGTGTTGCGCATGCCTGAACACGGATTACCATGACGCGCAATGCTGACTAGTGTTGGGGATGGTTGTAAGAAAATTAGGGGCGGCCAGACCAAAACGTTGCATTAGTGCTTGGAGTCACTAACGTCTGGTCTGAGCCATTTTAGTAAATGCAGACTACTTGGTTGGGGTCTGTATGACTATCGTAACAAATGGTTGGAGATTCTGGGTGATATGGTTCAGAAGTGATCACAATGGCGTCGGTGTATACACTCTCTGTCTTCCCTTAAACCGTGACATTAAAACTACTTTATACCTTTAGTTCTACGGACTGATTCTTTCTCTATTATATCTTTTTTTATATATTGTTACCACTGAAGTAACTACTTCTATGAATTTGGTGTTGATCTTGTTGTGCTAATGAGATATGGCAACTTGGCTCGATATATGTACCTGATCCTGAGTTTTAGCTGACAGACAGCAGACTTCAACGGCTTATAGGATAAATAGGATAGTAAATGACTTTAGGCCCCAAATGTTCACTATTTTTCTGGAACAGCTTCCTCAACATCAATACACGTGTGCAAAACAATCAACTGGTTTATACCAGTTTATTACAAAAGTATTAGATATTGGAAAAAGTGAATTTCAAAACCCAGTAGTAAATAGTACTTTTGACATGCATTTAACCAAATATCCCAATTTCTGGGAAGTTTTGCGGATTTCTTCAAGGTCCTATAAAAAAATCGTAGTTTTCACTAGACAGGGGAGATTTTGGGGCCTTGAGTGTTACTTCGGGAGGCGAAATCCGACTCACACGTCCGCGTCGTGCCTCCTGGATAATGAGACGAATGACTCATGAACTGACGTCAGCGGTAACCCGGGTGAGGGAGATCGAGCTAATCACCCACTCTACATATAATCATTAACTGATTACGAACTCTACAGATAAACATAGCACAACTACATTTGGAATGGAAAAAGACAAAAAATTTTCTCGAAAGTGATACATGTATCATATGGAGTTGCTCGTCATTGGGCAAACTCCAAAGGTATGCAGAAACAACCATTCTAGTCCCGGTAAATGTGCTGTGCTTTGATGTGCCCTGTTTCTCTCCAGAAGGGCCTACTAGGCTTCACCAACTTCTTTGGCTGGAAGGGGGGTATTGTTACTCCTCCGAAGTTTTGTACTAGAGCTTTTCCGAAGTTGACACATTCTCCCTAGATTCGGAAGATTAGGTGACCCTTGATAACGACTTCCCGTATCTGTATACCGATTCTTTTAATTGATATCTCAAGTTCACTGTAGTTTTGGGTAAGACTTTTGAGCAACGCCAAAACGACCTAGAAATGTCCGTCCACTTAACGGGGTTAGATGGGAGTTACATATTAGCGTTGGGAATTAGGATTTACGGTTCAATGTTAGGGTTATGGAACAGTAGGACACTTAGTTCAAATCGATGATTACAGAGACAAGGTGTTGCGAAATTTCAAGTATCAAAGAAAATGAGTGGGTGAAACTAGTTATGGTTATTTATCAACACTAAGGATGTATATCCTCTCAGAAGCAACCAAGATGCTAAAAGGAAGTTTTATATGACGTTAAAATCCAAACACCAACTCCTACTATCTCGAACTCCCGCTAGAATGCAATTAGATGATTTTCTGGTGCTCAAGGTCATGTGTAGGACTGTCTAATATTTCATTACAAAATTCCAGTTTTACGAGCTAATGCACTCGTTTGTCTTCTCTCTTAGATATTCATGCATTGGAATTTAGTTTCCAGTATTTGGCAGGTTGTAATGGGATTAATTTTGTCACTGTAGTAAATCTGATAACTCCACCTGTAGCTCTTCTAATGCTATCGCCGGTCCCAAGCCCGGGTAAAAAGGAGGGTTGGGCATGGGGTCGGCAACCCTATCCTGTAGAAAAAAATTTACTAAAAGCACTAACCAGAATAAACAAATAAAACCATTTTAACTCTGCTCTGCGATTTGAAGGAAGAATTATGATGCATCAAGATGGAAGCCGAGATTCTTCGACAGTCAGGAGACCGATACCCCTTCTAAAAACCAGAGCATCAGTTTTTATAAGTGCATTGAATGTCTGGACGGTGTGAGAGACAGTGAGTACCAGTCAAATAACAACAGAAATGAGGAGATACAACGTGACGGTGCTCGGAATCTGTGAAACCCATTAAACCCGAGCTGGATGGGAAACGATAGATTCCAGAGAGATTCTGCTGTATTCTGGTGATGAAGAAGACAATGCTTGACACACTTAATGAGCTGTTCTGGTGTTGTCCAAATAAGCACGTAAAGCACCTATGAAATGAGAATTACATGGACCTAGGATCACCAAAGCATCCTTCTAGATAAAGAAGGAGGGGGCATAATGAATGCTATCCAATGTTATGCACCTACCAATGACAGTAATAACGTCGATAACGAGTAGTTCCACCCCGAGCTGCAATCGATCATAGCGAAGTGCCCAAGAAAAGACCTGACAATCCTAATGGTAGATGTAAACACAAAAGTCGGAATGGACAACAACGCTTATGAAGATATCGTCGTACGACATGAACTGGAAGAAAGAAACGAGAATGGCGAGCGATTCGAAAATCTTTGTGGATTCTACAAACTGGTTATAGGCGGCGCAATATTTCCACACAAACGCATACACAAAGCTACATGGGTCTCACCGGATTACATCACGGAGAACCAGTTAGGTCATATTTATATCAGTAAAAATTTCAGAAGGTCGATGGAAAACGTGGTAACGAGGAGATGAACTAACATAGCTTCGTATCACCACTTGGTGGTTGCCAAGATGAAACCAAAGCTAAAGAAACAGTGGACATCAGTGAAAACAACAGTACAAAGTCTCAATACAGTCTTCCTTCGAAATTCTGACAAACACAACGAATTAAGGATAGCTCTCAACAACAGGTTCCAAATCTTACAAGATCTACTCAAAGAAGAGGAAACTACTATGAAGGATGACTGTAAAGAAATCAGAGAAACACTGACTTCAACGTGCTAGGAACGGCTGGGCTGCAAGAAGCATCATCACAGGGAATGAATCTCTATCAAAACTTTAGACAAAATCCAGGAAATGAAGAACAAGAAGACAGCATTTGACAACAGAACAGAGAAAATCAAGGTACAGATCGAATACACAGGAGCAAGTAAGCAAGTGAAGAGGAGCACTAGAGCTGACAAGCAGAAATACGTGGGAGGGCTATTAACGACAGCGGAAAAGGCTATGAGAGAAAGAAATATGGGACAACTATTTGACACAACGAAGAAACTGATAGGGAAAATATGTTAAACCAGAAAGACCAGTCAAGGACAAAGGAGGACAGTTAACCACTAAAATTCAAGGACAGAGGAACAAATGGGTAAAATACTTTTAGGAACTCTTGGATAGACCAGCTCCATTGAATCCACCTACACCGAGGCAACACTCACAGACCTACCTATCGACGTCACTCTACCAAAGATCGAAGAAATCAGGATGGTTATCAGACAAATCAAGATTTGGAAAGCAGCAGGACTTGACAATATACCAACTGAAACACTAAAGTCAGGCACATGAGTAACTGCAAACATGCTTCACGTTCTATTCAGGAATATTTGGGAGGAGGAATAAGTGCCGACGGACTGGAGTGAAGTATACCTCCTCAAGACACAAAAGAAAGATTTGAGTTGTGAGGACTAGTGAGGCTTCACACTACTGTCAGTATCTGGAAAAGTTTTCAACAGACTGTTGCTGAACCGGATGGAATCTCAGTAGACGCCTAACTTCGAGATCAACAGGCTGGATTCCGTAAAGATCAGACCGAATCGCGACGCTACGGATCATTGTTGAACAATCAGTTGAGTGGAATTCGACAATGTACATCAACTTCCTTGATTATGAGAAGGGATTTGACAATGTGGACAGGAGAATATTATGAAAACCTCCTCGATACTGTAAAGTACGTGAAGAACTCGTCAAAAATCACCCGGAATTCATACGACGGATTGCGAAGTGGTGCGTGGAGGACAGCTGACAGACGCATTCCAAGTAATTATCGAAGTCAGACAAGGCTGTCTACTCTCCCCCGTCCTCTTTCTTCTGGTGGTCGACTGGATTATGAATACCTCGACATCTGAGGGGAAGCACGGGATAAAATGGGCAGCTCGTAGTCAGTCAGAAGGTTTGGACTTCTCCGATGACCTGGCTCTTCTGCCCCATGCACATCAAAAAACGCACATGAAGACAACTTGTGTAGCGGCAGTAGGCCTTGATATACACAAGGGAAAAAGCAAAATTTTCAAATACAATACAGGGAAGACCAACCCAATATCACCTGGTCGAAGCAAACTGACTTCTTCGAGCTCACTTTTTGGTGTTACAGTGCAATTTTGGGTCTTTGATAGAGAGGCTAGTTCGTCGCTGTAAAAAGTTTAGATATAATATAATATATATAGAAGGGAAGGGAAAGTGGGTCTACATGCACTTTAGGGATACAAAGTAACTAGGTACAGAGTAGGGGTAGTGCCTGTACCCGTGGTCCGGTCTCACGAGGGTCTTGGAACGACAGTGATTCATGATCTTAAGACCACGGCCCACAACCTGGGGTTTCATCTAAAGGGTATATGACCCTATGGGCTTTAAGATGGACATTCACCAAATTAGATACCAACATGTTCACTACAGTATACACAATCTTAGTGATAACTAAGTTTTAAAACTGGGTTTAGTTTGCAAGCCCATGTTTAAGAGGTAACTCGGGTATGACGGGAAAATACACAGAACAGCTCCCCTTGAAATTCCAGAACTCTGGAGTTTGTCGTACAAAGGCCGGCTTGGAAAGCTGGTTTTTGTACTCTGTCCTATCGCAGATTTAGATCTGATCTGATTTCAGTGCATAGAATACCAAGAAATCATTCTGGACATTATATATCCTTTCTTTTTTTCTCAACAGACAGGGATATCTCAGCGGATATAACGGGTGAGTAGAAAATCCAAGCACGAACAAAATACCGGTGGCATACAGGTCCTCACAGCAAGCCATAAATTCTTGGAATCTATTACCTGAAGCAGTGGCATCCGCACCTTTGATTGTCCCACTCAAGGGGAGACTAGACACTCACAAAGCATGCCAGAAAGGAAATAACATTGACCGTAGGCCTTCTGTCCTTACTACAAAAATCTGTAATCTGAAAACCTGAATCTGACAATGGTCATATGAAGTATTTCCAAAAACTAAACACTTGCTTCTATATCTTTGACAGTAGTTTGTTTTGATGGATAGTGGTATTTTTCCTCGCTGAACTAGTTTCATTGTTCGGATCTTTTATTACGCATTTAGACTACTTTTTAACTGCATTTTAGTTTATTTCGGTCATAGCCGTCATCAAGCATATCTTTTTAAAAATAATTTATCGTCTGTACTTTTGAGTACATTGGTTCTTTTTTCATTTGTTTGCACTTTTGATTCTAAGGACTTACATTTTTTCACTTTTCCTGGTCATTGGCTTCTTTTGTGTCTGGATATTGTTTGTGTCTTGTTTTTTTTGCAAGCCTCTGATTGATGGATGGACTATACAAAAAAGCAACTAATAACGCCAGGCTTTCGATACCCTGTGGAAAGTGGCAAACAGTGCGGTGAGTGCAAAGGATGTTACTATGATGTTTGCACAAATCAAACTCCTGTGACTCTCAAATGGTTTAGTAAAAATAATTGCGTGAGTCTACGTCAGTGTTGTTGTTCGGACTCAAACAGCTTTCTAACGGAAGCCATTGTAATGGTTAGCGCTGTTAAAGAGAATATTAGCAAACGTAATTGAGATTTATCAAATGGGATTCTCTCGACCGATTCACGAAGAAAAACTCAGAGTCCATTGACTTACATTGGCCAACGGAGAAAGGACGGTTTGTAAAGAGGTCTACTGTAAATAAATGCTCAAGAAAGGGAGATTTTTCTGTATTTAACCCTCCAAATTACAGCGTGTAGGAAACGCCTAGAAAACCTAATCTTAAAACTAGGTCTGTTTCTTGCAGGACAAACAACAACGTGACTAACCAAGTCATGAACAACCGCCTAGGATCCCACAGTGCGTGATTGATACAGATCAAGGATAAGAAACGACTCAAAGAAAAGTCAGTCCACAAAACGGTAGCTGAGAAATTGAAGACTGAGAGTAGTGCCAGGTCAATTGCCTTTCATACAGTCAGAGAGAGTGAAGGCTCAGAACACAGAACTCGTTTGGAGCATGACATTGAGTTGATAAAATGGCTAATAGACCAGCTGATACTACAAGATATCTCTGGAATTACTGAAACAGAACCAAGTCAAGATTTTAAGAGCAGTATCAAAATTTCCAAATGAAAGGCATTTAATCGTACGAAATGGACATAAATTAAACAGGTCACTGTGTTTTATCCATAAAGACTTACCTCTTGCAAATCGTACAAAAAGACGAAAAGCTGGAAAGCAACTAATCTAAGTATTGATGCTGGCGAAAAAGGACCTTAAAATAGTGCATTCATGGGTGGCGGGGCTTCAACACACAATGATGGCGAAACCACTTTGGGTGCAGCACAAATGCCTGAAGCTTGCTCAGCAAGTGATCTGATCTAGGTGTACAGAGAGTTTCTACC